GTCTGGTGTTAATTTTATATTTGCTTTAAGTAAAAGTTGTATTAGGGTTAGGGCATCTTTTTGATGGCTAAGTTTCCGAGTCTTTGGTATTTTTGGGCCCTAACGATTTTGAGAGAAGAATCATCCTCTCAAATAGAGCATCATTTGTATCTTATTGTTTTCTTTTATTTTCTTGCAATCAAGAGCGCTTTTCTTCTGTTTTTATCCATAAAAATCCTTAATTGTACTTTCAGCAATTAAATTTCTGTTTTTTCTGTTGTTTCCTATCAGTTTGTTAAAACAATTTATCTATTATGAATCTCTGTTTCATATAAATGTTGTGAATGTTTTCATTTTTTAAAAATATTTTATGTCAAATTATGAATTTGTGGGAAAAGAAAGCTTCAAATATAAGACAATTATATTTCATTACATTCTCAAATATATTAATGGTCATGAAAAGCTGCACATGGAAAAGATCAGTCACTCTAAGAAGAAAAGTGAAAAAAAATAAAAAAATAACCAATCCCAAAATTTTCAAATATTAAAATTCATCAAACTTCTGAAAATGATGATTTAGCCATCCAAAATATTATTTTTATTTAATATAAATTCATTTCATTACTTCTTCAACTACAATCCATAAGGCCCCAATAGTACACAAATTGCTACAAACAAGCTTCCAGGAGCCCCAAATATTACAAGTACTGGAACCATAACACAGAAACAACATAGCCACAATTTAAAAAATACAAGATTCCAAAGTTTATATTTTAAATTCAAATTTTAAAAATAATCAACAGGACACAAATCTTTCACATTTGTTATAAAAATAAACTGTATTTCGCATCCAATATAATGATCATTAGAAAATATAATATCACCAAGCAAATTCAGCTCAGAAAAGTAACAATAACAGGAGAAATTTGTTCATTCTGAGAGTACAAAGACATCCTATGATGGAAACATGGACCAAAGCAACTTATCTCACAGGCTGTTGATTATAGTGGCTCTTCTCCTTCTTCTTCGCCGCAGCTAACTTAGCACTCCTGGCTGCGGCCTCAATGGCTGCAGCTTTCGAAGGAGCATCTGCATCTTTCGCCGATTTCTTCTTCTTGGAAGCTATCTTCTTGAGCTTTTCTTTGATATCAACTTCAGAAGAAACTGAATCTTCCATAGGTTCAGCACCTGTCGCTCCGTCAGAAGCATTTTTAGCTTCGTTGGACGATTTTTCCTTCTTTACTTTCTTTTTCTTTGAAGTTCTGTTATTTGCTTGAGCAGAAGTGTTCTCATTGCCATCCTCATCAGCAGCAGCTACAATAGAATAATGGATTAACAGGAAAAATGCGTACAAACTGGCATAAATTTTGAGTCTGGATAATAGAAAAAAAAATAAAAAATAATAAAATTACATACATACTATTTTATTTCATGCTATTTGCATATCTGACACCCAAAATATTAATATTATATGACTACCACCCATAGAACAAATTTGAATGCATAAAATGAAATATTAAAGTTTATAAGATGGTATGAATGATAGAAATGAATTATATGAGTGATATATTTGATCTTAAAGTTATATATGGGTGGTAGACATGTAATATTAATGTTTTAGATGTTAGAAATGTAAATAGCATGAAATAAAGTGATATGTATGAAATTTTCCCAATTTATTTTGCAGTCATTTCAATATATCCATTGAACTGAAAATTTTGTAATGAGATCCTAAGCCAATTTTTAAGCTCTTGTAAAGAAGAGAAAGAAAAAGTTTTGAACAATAACCTATACCATTATTTTCAACAGTGCCGGTATTTTTTTCTTCTTTGTTGGACACATTAAACTCTGCCAAAAGAGCATCGAGTTCTTCAAGTTCTTTTTTCTTCAGTTCCTTCTTAGAGAGTTGCCTTTCAGGATCTTTAAGTGCTACAGGAGGTGGGGCAGGATTCTTTGAAATGGGCTCGTCTGGAACTGAAGCCTCATGCTCTTGTTCGGGTTCATCTTCTACATCATCGTCACCTTCAATAAGACCGTAATCCTCACTTTCACTATCCTACAAAATCCATGGATCAAAATACAGTTAGAAAATTCCATTGATCGTGAGCTGTGATTGTGAGAACGACAGAACAATCAAGGTTTCTTCCTACAAAAAAGAGCTGAGTAATCCAGAAAGAGATTGTTGTGGATAATAAGTTAATGCGCTGCAGAAACTTAAATGCGAATCAAATAATATAATCATTTTTTATAAACAGGGTGATTCCATCTTTAAATTATATTGGATGAATTAGGATTATAACTCTCAACAATCAAAATCATAGTGAAATCAACTGCAAAGGAAACAGGACTTAAACATCAATTGAGTGAATCTTAATAAAATTGTGCTTTTTATATGTTTTTTTTTTTTCATCTTATTTCATTGCAATTGAATTTAAATTTGCTTATTTCTAACATAAATTACATGGCTGGTTGGAAGATCTCTTCTGAACATTGCAATGGGAAAAGGTAAAACATAAGATTTATACTTCTAACGTTGCAATGGGAAAAGGTAATATGCAAAGTTAATGAAATATCATTAATTTTCATAAATCTATTTAATTATCAAAAGAAATGAATCATAATGTATAATTTTTCATGAAAACTATGCAGTTGTATTGTATTACAAGTTCCTATAAACCATTACAAACAGTTCAACTATTGACTAATCAAAAACACCAATCATTCAAAGACCATCCATCGGCTAGGCTCCCTTATTATACCCCTACCCTGTCTAAGGTAGGGTTTTGAAATTTTTGGCTAAAAACTATTAGTAACAAAGGGAAACCTTAGTTGCACTTCTCAAAGGATTGGAATAAAAAATACCTTTTCCTCACATTCTTCAGTGTGTGACCTCCCCTAAAATTTGGTTTGCGCTCAAATCTCATTTGTGTGAGTACCTATCTTAGCTAACTCAATCCTACTCTACCTAAGACAAATTTAAGCATTAACAAGCTCTTCTTGGATTCCTTCTTCCTCTTTTACTTCAGCTATATAACTCCTCAAAAGTCGAGTATTGTTGAATGGAAACACATTGTCACCCTTTGTACATTATATTGTCAAAATCATTCACTTGTGGAATGGACCAAGGAACTACATATTTTCTCCATGATTTTACACATACATATTTGTACTCTCTCTAATAAATAATAAACAACAAGCTTCTCCCATAAATGGAATGGATATTTGGGATTACATGACACATCTAAATTAATTAATGTCCCATAATAATAATAATAAATGGGTGTATTGTAGTGAATAACCTTAATTTATCAATGAAGATAATAAAAACTTGATGTTTCCACTACTAGAATCCATAGCACTTATAAGGGATTGTTTTACATGAATGTTTAGCATGAAAGCTCCTTCACTTCATCATTCTCTTTTACCATCACAATTAGGACTTTCAACCTTCTTCATGGATGGCGATTCCACCGCATCATCATAATCAATGCAGTGACTATTTTTGTAGTCTCCTCCCTCATTGGGCTCCTTTCTGGGTGCAACATACAACAATCCTGATGTAAGTATCCTTGGAACTTGCAGTGATTGCAATAAGATCTTTGATGCTTCTTCTCTTTCTTGGTCTTCTTTTCTTTGGGCCCACCATTTTGATTGAGTTTTCGACTAACTTGGTTATTCTCCTCTCTGGCTTGGCCTTGGAGCTTGCATCAAAATCTCCACTTGGAACAACTCAAAATCCATTTTGAGTCATTCATGCAACCCTATTACATATGAAAAAAAAAGCTTGCCTATGAAACTTAGTTCCATAATCCTACAAAAAACTATTTATATATTTGTTTCAATTATTTTAATTGGATGCACTTATCCTCTTGTGCATAAAATAAAGTGAAGTGTTAAATTATAACTACAAGTATATTTAAATGAGAATTTGATTCTTAACAGGACACAGTGGAGGAAAAGGATTCATGCAGCCAACGCCCCATAATGGGATAAATGCTTGATGTTATTGTTTGTTGTTGTTGCACTTATCCTCCTTGTGTTTGATGGGTTGAAATTGAGCTGTAAGTAATAATATACATTGTAACCAAGTTATTCTAGATATAAACCTTGGATCAAGAGTTCCGCCATATAATAGTATGTGAGGATATTTTTGACCAGTCAAAAGAAAAATAATATATATTAGCAATTTATAAATTAAAAAAAAAAAATTAAAATCTCCGTATAGTTATCAATAATATTTCAATAAGGTAACATTAACTTGCTATCCACCATAAAGAGAGGTGGTCCCATTGATTGGCTACTACCATTACCATCATTAGACGCTACATCCAAAGCACCCTCATCATTCTTCTCATGGAACATAAGAACTTTACCACAACGGGTGGTAGCAACATCTTTATGTTTTTGAGAAGCTAGTGTCTTTTGCATGGTTATTTACTAAACTAGAATGGTCATCATAACCTCTAGTTTTGCAAATCTACTTTCCAAACTTTTTGGCTTAATAGATACTGCTTATGCTATTATTGGCTAATTATCCTCATAAGGGTGGGATACAAATTTATGATGAGGGTTCTACAAGTCAGGAACTTATCTATGATACAAATTTATGATCAAGATCCACTAAAAGAGGAAAAAAGTATAAGCTTTCTAATGGATGGGACCAAAGGGGGTTCTTAGGCTAATGTGATATGTGGATTTTAAAGTCATAAGGATTGTAATAAAATTAATTAAGAAACTCTTATAAAAATGAAAAGACAATTTATTACATAAGTGAACTAGCTTAATATGATAAGTGTTATCCTATCAAATCCTAAAAAATGAAATCAAGGGATAAACTTCACTCTATTCTAAAATTTTGTCCTAAGCATTGTGGTGGTCAGCCATCTATGGATAAGGTGGGAGAATTTTGTGGATGATAAAATTTAACCTCCCTTCATTTGTGTAAACTCTTTTTTAATTTGTTGGACTTGGTATTTTTCTTAATCTTCTTGTCTTGTTCGCCCCATACCATAGTTTTATAATGTTCTCCTTGTATCTTGCAAATTTCTCCATATGTCCTACAAGGTTCCCCATATCAATTCTTGGTATTTTTTAAAAGGTTATTCCTATCTTCTTAAAGTTTCAAGAAGTTTGTGATCTTTGTGACTTATAAAAAATTCCAAGCATTTGTCTTGAGATTATGGCTTGCATTTTGATTGGTTCAGTTTGATGTTGGAGCCTCCTAGTTCAATATATGACGCTGAGAGAGAGAATGTGGAATATGATTATAACAAAAAAAAAAGTGAAATGAAATAGAAATAATAGAGGGGAGAAAAATAGAGCCGAGATGAAAAGAGGAGAGTTATTCGGCTATTCAAATAGAGATATGGAACAAAGGAGGATTCAGAACGTAGAGGTAGGAGGGAGGAGCTATACCTCAAGAGAGCTAATACATCATTTCATTATGATAATAATAATCATCATCCACATAAAATAACCTTACATATGCTTTTTACAAAATGGTCTTTCAAGTGACAATAAGGCAAATGCTTAATAAAAACTTAGATGCCGTCTAGATCTGAATAAACAACTATGAAGTTTAGACCAACTTCATTTGACGTATAGTGACAAGAAAATCATATAAAATGACACAAAATAAAATATGACACATAAGCCATGATATGACTAGTTGACCTAAAGTCCATAAGAAGCTTATATTGCATCACACACAAAGCACTAAAGTGAGATATCTATCTATCTATATATATATATATATATATATATATATTACTAAAGTGAGATATCTAGAAAATAAATAGGAACTGTAAGTGAGATGCACCAAATCTAATAAATGTGTCTAATACTTCATCTCAAGTTCATTCATAGACTGTGAAAATAATCCGATAGCACTTCTCTAGATGTAGAATTTAAGATGCAAATATAGGAAAACATAGAAGAAAAGTACCAATAAAAATTTATGTAAATCAGATATAAAATTATAGCCAAACAATAGTGCGGTAATTATCTGAAATACAGTTGTGGAAAAGCTGCCCCACATGAATCATGAAAGTTAGTCATGTCATCAGTCTCATTTTGCTTCTCCTATCAAATATTGAGAACCATAACGCTTAAAAATGTTTTGCTTGATAAGCTCACTACCTACTCTAGCTGAGCCCTCATCCATGCCAAGATCTATGTTGCACCAACTGCCTTCTTTATCAACTGATGATAATAACCCAAGGGCTGATATCAGTTTATGATATTCGGCAATATAGCATTAGAAAGAACAAAATCTCAGATTCAGAACATAAATGCAAACAAAATGAGCACAGAGATCATGATGGAAAAAAAATATATGAAAAGCAATTGAAACAATCCAACATGATAATAAGCCTTCTAAACTCACTTTCCCCTTTCACTGCTTACCGATTTATATACGAGAAAAACAGAAACGGTCAAATTATACATAAGATGTACAATAAAGTTCAAGACTTCAAGGCCAACTCGAAAAAAGAGTTACAATAAAGTTCAAGGGAAAATAACCTCTTCCGCCGAATGAGCCATTACGTCCTTGTTGTCCTGCGTCTGTGCAGATCCCCAGACCGGAAGAATAGGTGCGCTCTTATAGTAATCATCATCATCATCATCTACATCGGCCCAAGACTTGTTCAGCGGCGTCGGCACCCACGTGACTTGTGGAGGCTCCGGTTCCCTTGCCTGGGCCTTCGATGAACCCTGCCTCTTCGCTGATCCCTTGTGCTCCTTATCCGACGACTTCTTCTTCTTCTTGAGAGTCTCGAGCGCAGCGAACACATTCGTGCTACTTATCGCTATGGCTCCATCGTCCCTCCTACCTCCACCTCCGACCATCTTCAGCGCAATCGGTATTAATCCACAACCACCGAATTCAGGATAATTCTTGAAAATTACTGGCCGGCGTTAGGAATCAAAACAAATTATCAGTTCAGTTTCAGCGAACTATTAGCAGAGCTCAGCGCTTGCGCCAGAGAAGGGGGGAAGATAAGAGGAGGAGATGTGAGGTTACGGGCGGAGCGGACCGCGACGATGGCCGCAAAGACAGGTTTTGGAGTGGATTGCAAAGAAGTCCGACCGCGCCGGTGGTAGGAGAAGAAGAAAATTCGGCAACAAATTGGAAGATGCTGGACGAGAGGATAAGCGATTAGGGCATTTATTTTATTTTATTTACCAGTTTGTGATTAGAGCATTAAAGAGATAAATTATATAACATTTTTTAGCTTGAAAAGGACCTAAGCCCAAAACAAAAAAGCATAATGAAATTATTAAATGTGATATTTTTTGGAGATGAAGTATTTGATCATATAAAGATATAATTTTTATATAGAATTCTATTTGATGATTGGGAGCCTTTGAAAATGACAACAAAGTTGGTAGCTAAAGCCTTTGAGGCTTCCTCGCTATTCATTTCAAATGTGAGATAAGAATCAAAATGATTCATGACGCTTTACAAATGGCGTAATAATTTCTGACTACTTAAAGTCTTATTTTTAGTCTCTTGACTTTTTAAATATGTACAGAAATGATCACACGTAAAGACTAATTTGACATCTACTTAAAGAGTTGAAGAACCAACGTGATATTTTATAGAATGGAGATTATTTTGGTCCTGTAAATATTATTCTAATTTTGCATTGTCCCCATAAAATCATTTTGCTCCCAACAAAGTCCTATTTAAGATATGGAAAACCTCTAATGTAAGAAGAAGTGTGGGAAAGCAGGAGAAGAAATGCAATGACTACTTATATACAAAGAGAGACACTGAAGTTTGATAGAGAATGCCGTATATCCAAGATTGTGAAATGCCTCAAATGTAAGAAGAGAAGAAGAAAAAGAGAAGAAAGAAAAAAATTTGTGCTCTTCCCCCACCATTGAATGCAGTAGTATGGTAGATGAGAAGAAATTCTAAAATTTTCTATAAGCTTTTGAAATTTTTTTTATTATTTTGGAATTTTAAAAGCCACAAAACACATTTTTCTATATAAAACATAATATATATATATATATATATGAGAAATTGAGGGCTAAAGCCCATATATTACTATGAAAAAAAAAAATACACGTAAGGTATAATAAAAATGCCAGACCTTATACAAAAGAAGAGGACTAACCAAAAATCTATACCTTCCAAAAAGAATAAAAAATGATTAGGGGACAAAGAGTTTAAGCTACCACAAAAAGGACTCAGACTGCTAGTTAAACACATAAACCCACAGAGAGCCAACATCACCGATCATAAGATATCCCTTGGTTGCCCGCAACGCCATCCAAGTAGATGATTAGTAGCTACCATCATAGTTCTGCAGCTAAAACCAGCCGTAGAAAACAGTCCTAGGTTGCCAAGAGACCATCCAGGGACCAAAACATAGAAATCAACCAGCAATAACTCGTCATAGTGAACTAGCAGGCAACAATAACCACATCTATAGAACCAACGCAAGCAGCAGAGGGAGAAAAATTAACAGAAATCACATCCACCCCGAGCATCTCAAAACAACAGTAAGAGTGAAACAAATCAAGCATAGACCCAGATTTCATAATTCGCCAGCCAATACAACGCCCATCCAGCAAAAACGAGAAGGCTTAAGAAGGCCAATTCACTTCCAGATCTTCATGATGCTTCCAGGTTGAGACTTTCACCTCAACTGCCAATTTAATGAGAGAGCATAAATTTGAAACACTTTTAAATTTAGAATTAAATCTCTTTCATTTTATTCCCTCTAAAGAAAGTACGTAGCACAACAAATAATTAGGAGATAAAATTCTTTTTAGTTCTTCAACAAGTAGTACCTTTCTCCCAAAAACTGTAAAACTTGGGAAAATCTTGGCCTCAAAAGAAAGTCTCCCAAAACAGGGATCAACCTTTTTAAAACAGAAAAGACATAGTCACATTCAAAAAGAATGTGAAAGGTTGTTTCAGCATGAAAGAAGCATAACAAGCAATTAGAATTAACCACTATGTTCCTTTTGAGAAGTTCATCAGTAGTTTTTAGCCCATTGTTTAAGGCAATCCAAGTATAATAGAGTATTTCAACGCATGATGCTTGTGCCACACTAACTTGGACCAATCTGAAATGGTCTCCTCCTGAAAGAAAAAATAAATAAATGAAGAGAAATAAGCTTTCTTCTTATCCTTCCAAGAAATGGTATAATTAGAATCAGATGCAATAGGAGTATGCCTCGGAGTTTGGAGTAAAACATCTCTAACATTGCCCGAAAAATTCCATGCTCCCTCCAACAAAAAATCGGACACCTTGGCATGATGGGGAGTTATAGAATCTAAATTACTATTAAAGAGAACAGTCAAAAGAGACATTCCGTTAAACCATGGATCCACGACATAGCAAGTTTGCTTTTAGTATTGATGGAAAAATGAATACTCGAGGAAATATGCAAAGCCACCTTCACAATATATTTCCAAAGATTGGAAGCTTTGTACCGAACGGGTGACCAAGGGGTATCATATTTAGTATTCAGATAAGTGAAAAGAGTTGATTTGGAATTGTAGAATCTGAAAAAAAGAGAGCATGAGTTTGCAAATTGAAGTGCCTGAAGATCCGGTATGCCCAACCCCCCAAAATTTTTTGACTTACAAGTTATCTTCAAAGAACTAAGATGCAGTTTTTTTGCCTCCGTATCCCCAAAATAAAGAAATTTAGCACACATCCTACTTAGACTCTTAAGACAAGATTTATATATTATGCACCCCAGATCCAATAAGCTATCATATTGTAGATGATATATTTTAAAAATTGAAGGCGACCCACAAGAGAAAGCAACCTAGCTTTCCAACCATCCAAATGATCTGAAATAATATCTAAGAGAGGTTAAAAATCAACAATACAATGTTTCTTAGTAGAAATGGGGATGCAAGGGTATGTAATCTTGTCATAATTTGATTGCAAATTAAAAGCAACATATATTCCCATAGGAGAAGATATGAAGTTTGATACAATGAGCTTACTTTTGTCATGATTAACCATTAAGCTAGAAACCTTATCAAAGGAATCTAATATATCCATAAGGATCTCACAATTATGCTTCGTCGCTTCTCCAAAAATGAGTAGGTCATCAGCATAAAGAAGATGTGTAAGTTGTACATCATTCCTTGGGATCCCAATAAATCTATCATGAGTAGCTGGATTATCAATCATACAAGTAAAGACGTTCATTACAATACAAAATAGATACGGAATAAGTGGGCAATCTTGTTTGAGACCAGAGGAGAAATGAAAATACCCCTTAAGAGCTCCATCAATATAGATGGAGAAGTGTACATCTGAGATATAAGCTTTTACCCATTGAATGAAAATAGGGGGAAAATCTTTTTGGCTCATTCTGGAAAGAAGAAATCTCTAGAAACATAGTCAAAAACCTTCCAAATATCCAACTTAGCACACAAAAATTTTTTCTTTGCTGACTTTTTGAATTCCAAAAGCAGTTTAGAAGCTAGAAGGATATTATCAGTAGCTATATGATTTTTAATGAAGCCAGCTTGATTTTTCCCAATGATAAGAGGCATTATATCCTTAATTCTCATCACAAGAATTTTGGAAATGATCTTGTAAAAGACATTACAAAGTGCAATAAGTTTGAGATCCAAGACATTAGAGGCATAAGAGAACTTAGGAATAAGAGCAATAGCAGTGGCCTTACCTTTATAAGGAAGATACTCTTTTGAGAAGAAAGATTTCACCACCTTACAGACTAAAGGACCAATGATAAGCCAATTGGATTTATAAAACTCAAAATTGAAACTGTCATATCCAGGAGAGGAGTTGGAATTCCCATTAAAATGGCATCCTTAATTTCATCATTAGAGACCATCAAAGTTAGCATAGCAGATAAATGAGAAGGAATAACAATACCTTTTGAAATAATAGAAAGATCATTAAGAGAAGTGGGCGGAGGAGCATTATAAAGCTCCTCAAAATGCAGATTGATAGAAGATTCCAAATCTTACCTGACAAGAGGATCAGCATTAAAAACCAAAGGGGAAGAGCTATGATTATTTTTCTTCCTAATTCTAACATATAAAAATTTTAAGTCATTTTCCTCGTGAGAGAACCACTTCAATTTGGCACATTGAAACATCCAGTTGGTCCAAGAAGAGGAGCAATCTAAAATGTATGCATCAATACTTTTGAGCCTTTGATTTGAGGAGATGTTTTGTGGATCAGATTCAAGCATATTGAAACATTGGGCTTGCTGATCCTTGAGGTTGGCTATGTTGGAAGAGAGGTGACATGAGTTAGCCCATTACATATATTTAATAACAATTTTGAAGGATTTAAGCTTAATGTACAGCCCGTAGATGGGATTCCCATGAATCAGTTGGGGAAAAATATTGAGTTCTACCCAATAATTGTCTTGCTTTGTCCAAAAAAATTCTTGAATAGAAATCTATGATTCATCTTAATAAGTTGACCTGATGATAGGATGATTGGTGAATGATCTGAGCATGAAGGGGTGAGAACTTCATAGTAGGAGCTAGGAAATGTTTCAAGCAACTTATCATTAATCAACATTCTATCCAACTTTAAATGGATGGGATCATTAGCTCTTTGGTTAAACCAGGTAAATTGTAGGCCAGTAGAAGCCAAATACAATAAACCCATATCAAAAATAAAGGATTTAAAATCCCATAATTGAGATGAAAGGAGAAGGGTGCCTCCATACTTTTTAAAAGGATGACAACAACAATTGAAATCAACAAGAATAATCCAAGGTGAGTTGATATTGGCTCCAATCTCCTTAAGATTATCCCATAGCATAATTATGTCCGCTTGCGAATTAGAAGCATAGATGATCGACATAGTGCAGACTAAGTCAGACCCCTTATGCACTTCCCCGGATATCACTTGAGTAGAGACATAGGATGGATTAAATTGAATTAAAGATTGATCTCATTTAATCCAAATTCTCCATGAGTTGGAAAGGTTAAAGTTGTGGCAACTTTCCTCATTATCAAAGACCAAGTGGTTGAGCCAAAACCAGGGGTCTAAAAAAAGTGTTATCATGTATCATGTTCTCCAAAACACAGAGTAAGTCTAAGTTGTAACGACGAAATTTTTGCAAGCCCAAACCTTATCCGGGCTATTGAAACCTCACATTCCAAGTTGCAATACGGGAAAGGGTCATTGAGATTTTGAACTTTTGTTAGGAGCTTTTTTAGCTTGCTTGCTCCTGGAAGCTTTAGGTTGGGATGACGTGGGATTTCGGTAAGATTCTTGTTGCAAAGAGGCTGAGGGGGAAGGCTGCAACTCATTGAAACTTTCTTGAAGGATCTCAAATCTGTTAGGGGATAAAACGTTATCCTGCTTTTTAAGAAGTGTAGCAATACTAGATGAGGGGAATTCTTTTGTATGTGAGTTTAGGTTAGGGATGGACTTTGGCGGTAAGTCAAAGGAGGTAGAAGGGGAGGGTATATGTCACGACCCGACTCGACCGGGAAGGATCCCGCCCGCACCGGGCCGCGACCAGCTTAACGAACAGACCAGGATCTGGCTTTGGAATTTGCTTCGGAACTGATTCTTCCAAATCTTTCAACTCAAAACAGATGCACATAGCTACTATGAAACATCAGAACAAAACTTCACAGTATATTACCATAGGGGGTTGCAAATTAGATGTAGAAGTGTAGGTAGCAATCTGAGAGGGGTTGATAGGTCGATTTATATGTGGTTGGGTGCTGGAGTAGAGCTGGGAGGTAAAGGTTCATGAGACAACTGAATAGTAGAAGAACTATTGAGTGGGCGAGGGGGCTTCCAACTAGTACTTCTCCCACAGGTAGGAGGTTGAGAGGTAGTTGGAGGTGAGGGGGTTTGGAAGGACATAAATTGGGAGTATGCACAATGGAGCCACAGTGATCACAAGGAGCCGACTTCCATTCATATTGTATTTTAAGTTCAAAAGGCTCCTCAAGAATGGTGATAGCAATGGATTCCGGATAAGAACAATTTTTTTAGACCTGTACACAAACCCTTGCGTAGGTAAGCCGTGATTTCTCTGCCGTCAATTCGGGAAATGACGTCTGGTGTCCAGCAAGGTAAAGACAAATCAAGAATTTTAAACCAAATAGGAATAGATGTAAATTCCTCTCTAACCGGCTTAAAATTAGGAACCCATTTCTGCAACACAAATGGTTTACCTAGAAAAAACCAAACACCTCCAGCCAACGCCATCTCATAATCATCAGGAAATGAAAACTTCAACATGAAAAATCCATCACTGAGGGAGAGTAGTTTCAACAAACCTTTCAACTTTCAAACCTTACGAATGGCAGAAAGTAACGATTCATAATACGGACGACGACCAATGGAGTAACAAACCAGTGACAGACCCCATTCTTCATTCACAGCTTTGACACGAAGTTCAATGAAATCCAACAGATCATCCGGAGATGGAGGAAAAGAAAGAGTGAAAGCATTCCCAGGGTGAGGATTAGAGACTATGTTACTATAGCTTAAAACAGGGGTAGGAGAAGGCACGAAGTTCCTTGCGAAGAGGGGGGAAAATCTGCAGGAGAAGAAAGATTTGCCATAGAGGAAGAAGAACCCCCGACCAAGCCGGGAGAAAGGGGGGAGGAGGTCAGTCAAGGGAGCGGCTAGGGCATCCAAAACCCTACCATAGCGCAATTTTGATCAATTTTATGATTTTATTTTTCCCGCATCCACATTGCTTTGTAAATAATTAATATATTATTAAAATCTCTCCAAACCAGGTGGCCCTCATATATAAATCTCAAAAAAAAAAAAAAAAATCATTTTTTTGAGAATGCTCATTAAAAAATCATACATGAAAACTATTGTACTGTTATGGCATTATCCTTGACATCATATCAATCTATAAAGCATTGTTGAAGCTTACCTATCGATCCAGCAGTTCAATCATCCCATAACGTGAACCAAGCAATATCCACTGCATCATACCAATCTATGAAAAAAAAAATGTAAAAAGTGTAGCAATATAAAATCAGTCCAATTATTAATATCATATATTTTCCAAATAAATAAATGTTATAAAAGTTACAAATAAATAAAAAAATCTCCAAAAAGTCTAAATAATAAATTTGTTATAATATACCATAATCAATATTTATTTGATTTGCAAATAATTTGTAATTTAGATAAATTAATTATGATTTATTTATGTTTTTTTTATATGCATATGACGGTCAATATTCAAGAGGAGATCAAGCCACATAATTATAATTATCAGTCACAAACAGATTATAAATGTACAAATATATATTTTCGGACTCTGTAAGCTTCAACATTCGAAAATAGGACGACAACTGATATATCATAAAAATTTGCATTGATTTAGCACAAATCTCGAGGCATATCCATTTAAGAAACTTCCAAAATTAAAATTGAAATCATCCCAGCTCTGATTTCAACAAACTTATAGTCGAATTGAACATATCGAAGAGTCGAACCCAACAATATCAAAATTAGTCCAATCCAAGCCCAAATGAGCCCAAATCAAAAGTCCAAAATATACTTGGAGACTTCAAAGCATTAATTGGATAACTAAATGAATGTCTAATATGACATGCTTATAGTCGAATCGAGCGGCTTGATGAGACAAATCCAACGAGCCCAAGCTTATTCTTGTAGTCAACAGATGGGGTTTAGAAGTAAGAGAGAAGGTGGAAGAGAATATTTAGAGAGCTTTCTTGCCGTCAACCACCGCCGGAGTTCTTCCCGACCACTGTCGAAATTCTTCTCAACCACTATCAGAGTTCTTCCTGACCACCATTGAAGTTCTTCTCGACCGATGCAGGAGTTCTTCCCGATCACCATTTAAGTTCTTCCTGACTGCCACCAGAATTCTTCTCGACTGCCGTCGAAGTTCTTCTCGACTATCACCAGACTTTAGCACCAAGAGTGCTTATTTGAAGATCGGCTAAACTTTTAATACATTGTATCATTCATGTTCTCGGATTAGAGTACGTATTGACTTTTGTAATCTATTAAAATCATAGTAGAACCATTTCAACTATGCAAGGTCTCGTGATTTTTTTCCTTACACTTAAAAATTATGGTGTATTCTTTATCATTTTGCATATGTGCTGAGAATTTTGTGTATCGCTAGACAAAGCATTTTCACTCTATCGCCGTGCTTTTATACAACGGAGACTATTTTGGTCCTTAAAGAAAAATTAGCAGATCAATTTGATCATTTTCTTCTTTACATATTATTCCAAATTTGCATTGTCCCCACAAATCATTTTGCTCCCAACAAAATCCTATCTCAAGCACATGATTTGTTTACATAATATTAATCCCCATTGAATGAGCGATTCTTCACATCACTATCAATTATGGACCCAATCTTAAATCTTTAGGATTTATGTTGTCATCTTTTGGCTTCTAAACATATAAACAATTATTAGATATTAACATATACCTAACATTAGACTTAATTAGTCATTCATAAGTTTTCTTTAAAGTTTATATGCAATTTTGTATTATGAAAAGTGATGTAATACTCATTTTATGCAAAACTTATGACACATCTTTTATTAATACACACATGTACATATTTTACTCTTCAAAATTACTAAATTACATCTTTGTACAAATGTGTAAAAGTCACATAATCATTGTATGTGTTGGGTGCTATTTTGCAAAATAATTGAATATGTGCTATAGAGAAGTTTACATATGTCATGTGCAATTTGATATTGTATAAAATAATTGAACAAAAAATTAAGGTATAACCAGCATTGTGTGACAATATATTTATAAGTTGTTCCATTTTTGTTTAATTTATTTACAAAGACACTACAATAGATCCGCTCAATGGGACAGCTACCAGAATGGTATTTACACTAAGGCTCCGTTTGGGACAGCTGCTTCCTCAAACGGCTTTCTAGCATAAAATTTTCTAACAAAAAATTTTTGTACTAAAAAGTTGTTTTAGAAAGCAACAAAAAACCCGTCCCAAACGAAGCCTAAATCAATGCCATAATGCAAAATGGGTAAATTAGACCAACAAAATTGGTTTATAAGCAGAATTTTACAATACTCAGTGAAATCCTTCATAGAATTTAGTCCAGTTACCAACATCAGAAATGAGGCCCTGAGATTGCACAGATCGAAGCAGTTGCAGAACAGAATCAAGTTTTGGGGTAGTAGAAAGAGACTCATGGAGTTGGTTTACTATCTCTTGTAATTTGAAAGGAGAGTTGTTTTTTACCCACTCTACATGCTTGGCAGCCATATCCATTTCTCCAGCATCTGCTAAGCTTTTCAACAGAATAATATCTGAATCACAGCTTTCTATTTTGTCTGGAACGCCATGCATGACATGTGATGCATATACATAATTACCTGCACGAAGGAAAAAAAAGGTATGAAATTTGTTCAAGTTCAGTAAATGTTCTGAGCATGATTGAGTTTGATGGGAGAAGATCAGTCAAACACAAGCATTGAGTAACAAAAATTGAAAAAGCAAGACATAAACCAACATAAGCCTATCAATTAAAGATCAACTGATGTAGGATGGCTAAAGGCCTATGATGATTAATAAAATCAATGATAAGAATAAGATGAACCATAAAAAACACAATAAGATCACAATATGTAGCTTACCAACTAGTAATTTTAACGAATACATATCACTTCAATTTAAAAACATAAAAAAGGTATTTTTCATTGTACATAATAACTTAATAGTTGTTGAAATCTAAAATTTCATTAAAAAATAGTGAATGAATATAAAACTTCAGCGCAAGAAAACCCAACTTTTTAAGGGAAAGAGAAAAATAACATAAGATTACTTTTTGAAGCAAACAATTTTATCAAAATAAAACACCATTATTTGAGAGAGAGAGAGAGTAGTGGGCCACAAAGTGCAATTTTATTATTTGTTAGTTGTTAAGTACGTTTGATTCAGATTTGTAGCGGGAAAACAAAGTCCCCTAACCACCATTGCTCTATTTGCACAATATTACAAAATATGATGTTCAATAAAAGAAATTGAAATAAGTGTCACAGGTAAAGAAGGATTTTTTTTTTGTTGTTTTATAAAAGGAGTGAGTGTTTAATTTAAATTAGGAGTAGGAGCAGAGGATAACACATTCCGTTGAATGCACCAAATTGTTTGATTATTTAGAATAAACAAAACAGTTTGACACATTACATTGAATGTGTCGTTTAGTATGACACATTACTATAATTCTGCAAAATTTAGTTCAACAGCATGTGGGATGAATGTGCCAATTTGTATGGCGCATTCTTTGGAATGCACCAAATCATTTGGCACATTCTTTAGAATGCGCATAATGATTTGACTTGTTTGCTCCATTTTAAATTTTAAAACTTACGTGCTCTTACTGTTACAAATGTATATACACGCTCCTTTTAAAAAATAAGGTAAATAATGTACCTTCACTACAAAGTGAGAGCACTAAAGTACGTAATGTTGAACTTGCAAGCGCAGTGTCCAGTTCCAAACAGTGATTGAATATATCAAGGGCCTCACATATCTTATTGTCTTGACACAACAGCTTCATGGTTGAAGAATAAGTAACATCATTTGGAACAACACCTTTTCTCAACATATGGTCATAAAGTTTCAGAGCCTCATTAGTTTCACCTACTAGTGAAAATTTTTTAATAAGGATGTTATATGTCCTCAAATTAGCACAGCATCCATTTGTAAACATCTCATCCCAGAGCTTTTTAGCCGGGCGCAAAAGATCTTCTCTGCAAAGAGCTTCCAGAAGGAAATTGTAAGTGGAAGTATCTGGCTTGAAGCCTTTCTTCTTCATCTTATTTAACACGCCATAAGCTTCCTTCACTCTCCCTGCCTTGCACAGAAAAGACACTATCACATTATACTGTTCAACTTCTTTGAAATAGCCTTTATCAATAAGAACCTTAAAGAGATTCCACATTTCATCACTCTTACCATCCTTACATAGGTTTTTGCTCATATTTTTAAGAGCCAAAAGGCTTGGAAATCTGTCTTTCTCAATCATGTATTTGCAGAACATTACAGCTGAATCTGACTCAAGAGTAGAAACTGATCCAATTAATGCATTAAGAACATCATCTTCTATAGGAAAATCTCCATTGACTATACCTTCACCTAGGTCCTTTGCTTCCAAAACTCTTCTTTCAGAAATCAATGAAAAAATGAAATCTTTGTAATCATTAGCTCGAGGAGCCACCCCCAACTTTCTCTTCTGCTTCAAGATCGTTTCCATTTCATCTAATCTTCCCACTGATTTAAATCCCTCGGACACAATTCTATAAGCAATGAAATCAGGTTTACAATCTCTCCTTCTCAGTTCTTCCAAAGCCCGCCAAGCATCGTCGATCCGACCAGCCCGACAAAGACTGTCTACAGTCAAGACAGCAATGATTGACCCATCAATCCGGCAATTCATTCCACTCTTAACTTTCTCCACTAAATCAAGAGTCTTTTGTAAATCATTCACTCTAGAGAACTTCCCAATAAAACAACCGAAACCAACAGTGCTAAATTGAATACCTCTAAGAAGCATTACATCAAACAGTTGAGTCGCAACAACAAGAAAGCCACCGGAAGAGACTGCAGCAAGGACAGAATTGCAGATGGTTGGAGGGAATTCATTGTTGGCGTTCTTAAGAATCTCGGCAGCATCGAGAGCTTTGTCAGTGTGGAGAAGAGATGAGGCGGCGAGGGTGATAGAGGAGGGAAGGAGAGGAATTTGTTGAGTCCGTGCGAGCTTTAGAAGGGAGAGGATAGAGTGAGGATGACGGGAAATGGATAAGGATTTGAGGAAAGAGTGGAAGGACAACGGGGAATGAGAGAAGCTGGGTTGGTGGGAAGCGAAGTGGAAGAGGCCGGCGGCGAGGGAGTGGTGGTGAAGGAGGTGTGGGTCGATGACGGAGGAGACCAGTGTGGGAGTGAGAGTTAAGGAGGAGGAAGAGGAGAAGAGGAAGGAACGGAGAGTTTCTTCGACGGCGGAGCTCCACCGCTGTGAGGGCTTTGAAGCGGAGATGAGAGCACGGCTGAGCTTATGTGCAACGGTAGAAATAGGAGCCAGAGGGCTCATTTTTGACCTGCAGCTCTGCATGCGTAAAATTTAAGACGAGTAAATGAAATACCAAAATAATATCTCACTTTAGAAGTCGACGACGGCAGCTTTATATCATATTTAAAAATTTCAAATATAATTAAAATATAATAATTTTACTTATAAATTACTTCATAAAATATAATATTATTTACACTTAGCTTAGGGAACCCTGACAAAGGCTTCATTTGAGACAACTTTCTTACTATTTTATAAAATTATTACAGAAAATAATTTTTTTAAATAATCGTAGAAAACAAATTCCTAGCACAATTTTTTTATAAGTAACAAAAAAATAGCAACGAAATAGAAATTGTGTTTACTATTTAAAGCAAATAAATTAAAAAGCTGTCCCAAATGCCATCCTAAATGAAGCCTAAATGCACTTGTTTTATCTTTAGAACCTCTAACATATTTTATCTTCTTGATCACAAAGCAAAGTAGCAAACATTCTTCATTTTTAAATTATTTCTTAAATCATTTAGCGAGTTAAGTAGCTCGGCATTTGAGTGTAAATATGATTTACTTCTTAGATTACTTAATCATAATCAAATATAGACGATATAAGACTTTAGATAAGTTTTATGTTGAAAGTGATCTAACTTGATTCACATTCAATGTCTCTTTGATTCAAATTTCAAATATTTGATTGGAATATGTTTCAAATTTGTAATATATTTCAAAATTATTAAATTTATTTTTAAATAAATACAATAAGGAAAAAATAAATAAAATTTTAATTATATTTATTTAAAAAAAATTCAAAATGTTTGATATCAGATATATATATATATACACATTTGGAACCGAATAGAATTCAAGGTAAGAACCGACCACCCGACCAGGGTTTTTGCTGGCTTACTCGGCGGCGTACCCAATCGCGAGCGCTGTTCAGAGAGAGAGAGAGAGCGCGCGCGCGCGCGAGAAAGAGGGAGGGAGATGACGCAATGCTTCGATGCGGGGCTGTCGACCCGGAAATGTCGAGAACGGGAGCTCTACGCCATACCTATCTCTTCCAGTGAGTTAAACATACCCGCAATCCTTACTACTCCTTTCTCCGATATTCTCGCTCGATACTAAAGACTTATTAGGGTTATCATTCTCATCTGTGATCGATTGGAACGCAGGCTGGTTTAAGTGGGACGAGATCCACGAGTCAGAGAGGAGGTCGCTGCCGGAGTTTTTTGAAGGGGGATCCTACTCGCGGAGTCCTAGGGTTTACAAGGAGTACCGGGATTTCATTATCAATAAGTACCGCGAAGACCCCTCTAAACGTCTTACATTTACGGACGTTCGCAAGTGTGTTGTGGGCGACGTCGGCAGTCTCCGGAAGGTCTTTCTTTTCTTGGAGAAATGGGGGTTGATCAATTTTAGTGTGTCCGACGGGAAGCAGCAGTCGGAGGAAGATGATGGCCCGGTTGTTATCGTGGAGGTTGGTCCCGCAGCGGGAGTGCGGGTGGTGTCTGGATCGTCTAGTTCTTCATCTTCTTTTGTTGACTCAGCGCAAGCTGGGGGAGAGAGCGCTTTCAGGCTGCCGCCCCTCACTTCTTATTCTGATGCTTTTGGGGAATGGAAGCCTGGTAGTGGCCTTATATGCGGGTTCTGTGGAGGTCACTATCGTTCTGGATTGAATGAATCATTGAACGTACGCTCTTATTTTTTTTATTTTAGGTGTTGTTCCTTAATTTTTATTACACATTTGATCTTTTTGTTCTTAAAGTAACAATAATATAATTCAACATATTATAACACATGTACCTGATCTAATTGTGATTAATATAGCGATAAGAACATTGTTCGTTGGTATATTAAATCCTGTTAACCAAAAACAAGAAAAATAAAATGCAAAATCGAATGAGAAGGGAAAACAATATAGCCTTAAAACTTGCTAATTGTATAGAGCAACAAACTTGCATGTGTTAGTGCTTTAGAGTGGATTTCTTTTCGACGGCTTGGACATCAGTGTTTTAGAGTGGATTTCTTTTTATACCGATGCCTATCTTAACTTATTTGATATGATAGCAAACCTGATTTTCTTTCATATCATCTCAATTCCTTACTTCTGCCATTATTCTCCCTAAAATCTAAATCTTTTCAAAACGATGGAGTGCCATAAATTGAACATATTTCATCGGGCTTTTCACCATGGGCTAACATGGGAATTAGATATTCAAATTTGCTTGATGGGCTACTTAGCCATATATAGACCATGAAGGAAACTATTCACTTTGGCAATGATAGTCATGAAATATGCATCATTAGGGATTAGTTTGGATCTAATACATTAGTAAATTCATCTCTATTTAGCTAAAGAGTGAGGAGGCCACTAGCATATTTAAGTCCATATGCTTTTCCACTTATCAAATAGGGGATTAACACGCCTTACATTTAGAAAAAAATAGGATTGTTTTTCTTTTAGAAAGAGGACATAAGTATAATTTTGCAATATTCATAAAACTTAGTTCCTTAGTTCAAAGTTAAATCAAAGCCAATTAAATTTAGTTGCATTTTGTAAGTCTTCATCTGGTGATGCTTTTGGTTGCTTTGTTTTCCAAAGAAATTGATATATCACAAATTTTCTTGCAGCAAACATAGATTAAAAACGAAGGCTTCAACTCACCACAACCTCCCATTGGCTACCAGCCACTACCACTGTTGGTCATCATAATTTTGCTTGTGGCATCACAAATTTGCTTCGTCCTACTTGCTTGTGTACATCTGCACTGCAAGTGTTTGTCCTCTATGGCTTCACATACAAGAGAAACACACTTGTAAGAGGTCTTTTTCAAAAACACCAAAATACATAATACATCAACACTAGCTTTGCCAAATTCCTAATAGATATAACAACGAAAGCATTACTTACAACTATGCAATTCATCAGTTTGATTTTTAATGAGATTTGTTGGAAGAAGTTTCAAGGATCTGTATTGGAGCAAATGCTTGAACATATTTATGGTCTTAGAGCTTACGTGTGGATTCTGAAAGAATGCTAAGTTTTGAAGGCACCTTGATATATGAATTCTTAGTTAAACCCTATTTAAGGAATTAACTAAAGTTTGCAAGAGGGCTCAGGCTTTGTAAGTGGAGTTTTAGTCAAGGAAGAGTGTTTCCAAGTTGAGAATTATTGCAAGAAATGATGTGGTTTCTTTTTAGTAAAATTTTAGGTTTGTAGGCGTATACTAGTCTTAATTTTGTCATTAAATTAGTCAAACAGACAAAGATATTGAATTAAAACCTTTGGGTTAGAGTTGGGACCTAATTGAGGTCGTGTGGATATTTCCTTTACAATGAATATTGGGAAATTTGTTATTGCAAGGCAGTTAGCAGGCTATAAGATTGGTAATGTGAGTTATTAGTAGTAATTGGCTTTATTAGTTATATTCTGAATACAATAGTAATGGTGATTCTCTTCTCATTGTTAGAGGCTGAAGGAGTATATAATGAAGTATGCTTGCGATGATAACTGAAATAATATACTTACAAATATACCATGAAATAATATACTTACAAATATACCAAGATAACTCAACAAATTGATAACAACTAAGAGGTTATTTGGTTTGCTGAAAAAGAAATGCAGGTGCTTATTTTTGTTTTACTTTGGCTTGAAATAGAATGAATGCAGTGTAAAGCTCAACAATAGTGGTGGTTGGTAGCTAATGAGAGTCGGTGATGTTGGCGATGGCTGCGACAACAATGGCGGTGGCCATTGGGGGTCGATGATCTGCTGCAGACGAAGGCAGAGGTGGTGGTTTGCGTTAGCTTGTAGCAATTTTGGTAAATAATTTACTGTATATTTGGAAATTAGCCAAATCTAATGATTTTCAAATAAACTAAAATTGAATTATAGGGTGAATTCCAAATTCATCAAAGAATTACATTGCATTTGAAATTTACCCAACAAAACACTTCAATTTTTGACATGAATTACACTATAAATGCACACAACCAAATGACCCCTAAATGAAAAACAAATCGTACTTGCAAGGAATAACTTAATCAATTTAAAAGTAATTAGATTAGCTTGAATTTGAATTTTAGGTGACATTAGATGAATGTAAAATTCATTTAATGTCTATATAGTTTCAGTATATGAACCCCTTTGATAGGGTGAAGTTTTTATGACATACTATAAGCAGCTCCCTTTTCTCTAAAAACTTTATAAAATGATGTGCTTTGTTCGTTGTAGTGGACTTGATATCCTCAACACCCGCACCCGGCCCTTCATGTTTTATGTAAGATCTAAATGCTAAACAACAAAGGTATAGACTGGTTGATTATTAACGGAACACAATTAAAAGACAACGAGAATATAAAAGGAAGGGGTGGGGGCTATGATGCACCGACACTTTGATACGCCCTAGGGTTCCCAAGTTTGGGTTTGCCCTAATGCTCCTTCAAAGAAAAGATTTCTCCTCCAAATCAAGGAAAAAATCAACGCAAGAGGGATGAGATGAAGAACCAAAACCTTTGCATTCAAAATCCAAGGGAAAACAAGATACAATTTGTCCACTTCGAGAAGGACAAGGTCTCCAACTACAAACCCTAGAAAAACAAGAGAAAGAAACTAAGGAGGCTAAGAGAAAACTCAAATCTTGCATAACCCTAGAAACCCCCCCTTAATCCCTACTTATAGCAAGCAAAAGACCCAACCAAACCCACTAGTGGGTTGCCCAAACTGAACCGCCCAGCTCAGGCTAGACCTGAGCAACCGTCGCAGACAATGGCACCGGTTCCGCTCAAAGCGATCGCCCCGTCCCGCTTCACGCGTCCCCTCCCCGCGTCCTGGCTTCGGCGGATGAACGGCGCGGCGCCCTGTTTCCGGCTGCTTCCGCCGCGGCGCGGGGTAGCCGGTCCTCCTCTGCCGGTCGGCGTCGACGGTGGCCCCGCATCATACTCCATCTTTAAAATTAACTCTTGTCCCAAGGTTAAGAATGTAGATTCCTTGGTGTGCGAAATCCACAAAGGTTAGGGTCACCTGTAGTGCACCTCCAACCATTACTCTTGTATTTTACCAGCACATTCTCCCAATTGACTCTCATGTCTCCTAAGACGAGCCAACCCTGCATACCCAGACGATGTCAGCGTTTTCCAGATCAATCAGCAAAAAAATCTTGAGTAATTATCTCCCCTTTGCAAGATAATAGTGACTCCCTTGATTTCCCATAAATACGGGCCTTCTGTCCGGTGCATATGGTCACCTCTACTCTTTGTTGCTATCACCTTTAGACTCAACTGTTCCGCCACTCGATAGGCAAGAATTGTGAGTAACCTCACTTCAAACAAAACTCTCACCTTGCACCTTCAATTTCTCCCTCCTCTTCATGGTGGGGTGGAATGGTAAACCTTCCATCGAATTCAAACTCCACTTCTATCATATCTAGGTGATGATGCTCTACCTCACATAGCTTTTCCTTGTTGCCCTTCATCTGTGGCCTCATCTGAATCCCACAACTATCACGTGCAGGGTTCTTTCTCTTTACAGCCTAATGCCCCAGGTGCAAATTTCTCGTCGCAACGGTAGCAGAAGGCCCTTGACCCTCTCTCCTCATTCGGATCAGTCAGTCTCTTGAACCTCCTTGGTTCACCACCAGTGGTGGCTTTTTCCTGCTGTTTACCTCCTCTGGATGAGTAGTGGCAGTCACCTTAGGTCTTCGAAGCATGAGTGGAGAGCGATATGTGGGGTGAGACCCCCGGTTCCGTGTCTGATCCGCCTTCCGCTCATCCTAACAAGCTGAGCTGTTCCATAATTCCCATTATCCCTCGTGGGTTGACCACCTGATGGCGGCTCTGATGTAGGGTTTCAACCCTTTCATGAAATTCCCCTCCATGGCGTCATGGGCATTCCCTCAATCGTCCGATAGAAGCTCAAAGCGCTCCCGGTACTCTGCACCGTGCCTCTGAACAAGAGACATGACTGTTCATAATGGTGCCCTCACTGAACACTCTGAACGTCTGTGCAGTAGTGAGGTCCTTGAACTCTTCCCACTCCATATAGGTTTCGCGCCCTCAACCATTGGAACCAAGCCAATGCTTTCCCTCCAGCAAATCGGACGGCCATCAGCTTTTCCTCCTCCGTGATGCCGTTTAATGGCGAAATATCGCTCCCCCGGTAGATCCCAATCGTACGCATCTTTCCCTGTCGAATATGGGGACCATTCAACTTCCTCATCCGTGTATCTGTCCGAGGAGGATTCCTCCCCATCTTCCATGGCCCATGCTGAATTGATAAATTCCTGCCCTCCACTGAGGTCTTCCCCTCCACTCTCCTGGATACGGGGTCTGCAAACCCCTTTTGGTGGCTCAAGGGGCTCGGCCCTCATGTGTCCTCCCGGTTGTCTTGGCCAACTCACCTCCGACCTCTCCTGCGGATCGGCCCCAACTCCGGCGGCCTCCTGGACCTCTCGGCCACCCTCCATACGAACCGTGAGGGTCACGTATGGCTCCTCCCCCTGGCCGGCGGCACCTCCCCGGTGCATCTAACCCACGCCGGATGCCTCCCACCCTTCCCTTCACCAAGGCTCTTGCGTGAGATGTAAGGTGGTGCTTGCATGGCTTCCCGGTTGGCTTGCTCCATCTTCCCTAATTGAGAATTAGGGTTAGGGTTAGGGTTCGGCATCGGCGATTTCCCTTTTTTCCTTAGGATTTGATTGAACAACCTGGGCTTCTACCAATTTACAGCAGATCATCTCTTCCATTCCCCCAACCAAATCTCTCCTCTAAGGTTGAGAATTTTCCCTCAACGACGAAAGTTTCTCTCCATTCCTCTTCCATTGGCTCATCTCCCCCTCCAAAACTTCTATCTTCTTGATGCCATGCCGTCTAGGATCGAGAGCTCTGATACCAACTTGATACGCCTAGGGTTCCCAAGTTTGGGTTTTCCTAATGCTCCTTCAAAGAAAAGATTTCTCCTCCAAATCAAGGAAAAAATCAACACAAGAGGGATGAGATGAAGAACCAAAACCTTTGCATTCAAAATCCAATGAAAACAAGATACAATTTGTCCACTTCGAGAAGGACAAGGTCTCCCACTACAAACCCTAGAAAAACAAGAGAAAGAAACTAAGGAAGGCTAAGAGAAACTCAAATCTTGCATAACCCTAGAAATCCCCCTTAATCCTACTTATAGCAAGGCAAAAGACCCAACCAAACCCACTAGTGGCGCTGCCAAAACTGAACCGCCAGCTCAGGCTAGACCTGAGCCAAACCGGTCCAAAATGCCGTTCCGCTCAAGCCGATCGGCCCCGTCCCGCTCCGCGTCCCCCTCCCGTGTCCCTGCTTCGGCGGATCAAACGGCGCGGCGCCCGTTCCGGCTGCTTCCGCGCGCCGCGGGGTAGCCGGCCCTCCCTTTGCCGGTTGGCGTCGGCGGTGGCCCGCATCACACTTTTTTTCAAAGAGGCGTGCAGTGTCCGACACGACACTCCTCCGACACGTGTCAGACACGCCGAAAACGTGTTCGATTAAAAAAATATTAAAAATAAATTGGACACGCGTATCTTGAATATTTTATAATTTTTTTAAAATAGAATTTCTTATATTTGGTGAGATTTAAACTAAATTTCTTATTTCATATCCACAACACTAAATCAACGTCTGCATTTAATACCCATTCATCGAATATTCTCAATTTCATTTCTCTTTGGCAGTGAAGGTATTTTCATCTCCTCTCTTTTTGCACAATTACAAATCTTTCTCTTGTTGAACCTGAGTTGAAAGTAGTGATGTTCAATGATGATGATATTAAAGGCCAAAAACAAACCTCTACAGCTAATCATAGTAGTTGAAGCTTGAATGCTTAATGTTGTAGTAAGTAATTATTTGCTTATATTTTTGTGATTGTACTATATATTTTGTACTAAATATTTTATATTATAAACTAGACAAGTTATCTTCTCATTCATTTATTATTGTTTGTCATTTTTAATATGATATTACATTAATATATTTACACTATATAAAAAAATGTATTGCCGTGTCCGCGCCGTACCCGTGCCCTATATTTTCAAAAAAAGCCGTGTCCCGTGTCCGCGTCGCGTCGTGTCCGTGTCGCCGTGTCCGTGTCCGTGCATCATAGGGTGGGGGGAACAAATAAGGAAGATGGATTAAATCCAAGGATGTTAACAATGCAGATAGAAAAATATTTGAATGATTGCATCCGTTAGCAGGATAGACAACAAGCGAAGGAAATAAATAAAGGAGTAACTAAATCGTCATATGGATGCAAAGAAAGGGAAATGATGGCTGAATACAAGAGGCAGAAAACATAGAAATATAAAAAAATTAGGGTAATTTTATGTGCTTTATTATATGCCATAATATAGCTTTCTAATATTTAATAGTTTCCTAGAGTGTATAATTCAAATCATGCACATAATTACACCCTTTGTAACCAGTGAAATTCAGAAGAGAGAAAATTCATATAAATGTTTTCTTACATGTTATCATAGATGGCTAGGGTTCTTCATTTTTTTTTGACATGCTCCTTATCATCTCCAACCTCTAGAATTTTCCATTTCCTCGCCTTCTCTCATCTTCTTTCTAAATTTTCCATCATCATGCCAAAAGTTTCTGAATTCACCTCTAGGAATTTAGAGAAATCTAGAAAACATACATAATATGGAGAGTTCCAAAACCTTCAGACCTCTTATCAACTTGATGGTATAAATCACTTAAAGTGGTTTCAAACTGTGATGAATTTCTTGAAAGGGAAAGGAAAGATCAACAACCTTGTAGGAGTTCCACTTTGCCTTAAGATTTAAACTTTGAGACTTTTGAGAAAGAAGACTCCTTGATTATTATTACGTACTAGAAAATTTATATCGTTAGGGTAGACGGTGTAAATCTTAATTTTTTTTATAAAATTCTGCACAAGTAGATACAACTTGTAAGAGATTAGAAAATTTTTATGGGAAAAACTTGGAAAGGGAAAAAAATCATAAGGCTTGGTCCAATTGAAAAATCCATTATATAATAGTAGATACAAAAATCCATCATTCCTCATAGTTGAAAAAGAAGAGGACTATTTGAAAACAAAATGTTTGATTTTTTTTTTTTTTGGGATTACAAAACTGTGGTGTCCACAAGCTAATAAATGAAACCTAACAAAAAGGTTAGAATAGCCGCAATTGTCGGTGGTGATGACTGTTGGCGGTGGTCGTCAGAAACGATGGCTAGAAAATGCTAGAGAGCTTTTTAGTTCTCTCAACTCTTGGACTTATTTCTATAGAGAATGAGGCTCTATTTATGATAATTTGGTTAAATCAACCCTTTTTTATTTTTCCTTGTGGATATTACTTAATATGGTATATGTATAATGAATGAAACATCATGCCAAAAGTTTATTCAATATTATGGTTGTTGTAAATTTAATGTTGTGTTCTATGGAAGTGCTAATTTCTTATACCTTAAATAAGCAAATGATAATGATCTACTTTTAAACCTGTCCAATCTAATGGGATTGGTTTCGTAGCATTTACTTTGCATCCATCTGTTAAGTAAATTGCTTTGCATTTACATTATTATCCTTCTTTTGATGAACTATTTGGTACATGCAATGACATAGTCCCATAGAGAATTGGATGAATTGTTACAAGAAAGATGATATTTTTTAATGAAAATATTTCTTCAATTGACTAGAGTTTTCCTAGAGCTTTTTGCTTAAAATTAGTTAGAGAAAAGGACCACCAAAAATGGTCCGTTGATTCTTTATTAATAATCAAAATGATCCTCAACTATATTAAATGATTGTTTTGGTCCCTCAAGTCCGTAAAGAGGAACCAAAATGATTCCTTTTGAAAGACTTGAGGGAGCAAAATGATTCTTTAATATTGTCGGTACCCTTTTGATCCTTTATAGAGAGTCAATGGATCATTTTGATCATATTCTCAAATTAGTAATAGTTGTTGTTTTTATAAGTTGTTCATTATGAAACATCTATCATGCATATGGAAAAGTCTTGATTGTTTGGTCTGTTCATATGCTAGGCTGGTATTGCGATGTGTTCAAAATGCTTGCATAAGTACACAGGAAATGGGAAAATTGAAGATGATTTGACGCCGAATGATCATGTTGATGTAAAAGATCAATCTTCCGCCACCTGTTGGACGGACACAGAGACTCTACTTCTTCTTGAAGCTGTTCTGAAGCATGGAGATGATTGGGATCTTATTGCTCAACATGTTCGAACTAAGAATAAACTTGACTGTATTTCCAGGCTAATACATCTGCCTTTTGGTGATCATATGTTGGGAACTATTAGTACAAAATCAAACAACGCAAACTTAATCACACCATTGGTGGAGTATAAGCCTAGCTTGCAGGTTTTAAATGATAATCCCCAGGAGTTCACAGAAACAAATGGTGATCAACAGGTTGAAATTAACAAGGTAGAGGGGATAGAGACAGCTAGCCAAGATCATTCTGTGAAGCGAAGATGCTTTCCACCTTTCACTGATACTACAAACTCATTTATGAAGCAGGTATGATTTATTTTTGGATAATTCAGATTTTCTAAGTCACCTTTATTAATATATTTTTCTTTTTTATAATATCTTTTCTATACTAGGTAGCATCCTTCTCTACAGTTTGTGGCCCGCATGTTGCTGCTGTTGCCCTGGATGCTGCAATCAAGGCATTGTGCCAAGAGAACCCATGTGCCAAGATGGCATTTGAAACTAATGCAGATAAAATGGTTAAGCCTGTGTCGCCTCCATATAAAAATGAATTCAAGGGGTTGGTATATTCGTATATTATTTATTTGTTATTTCTTTGGACATCCTAGAATTGATATTTTCATGGAGAAGTTGTGAAGCTATATTGTATCTCTTTTTCTACTCTTATTTTTTTTCAGTGACATAAAGTTTGAAGATGGGGATGCTAAGAGAAATAAGCAATCAGGTATCAATAAATGAATCTATTCTTATTTTGCGAGTTTGTTGGTATTTAATTGCTCTTTTTTTCTATGTAAATTTGCATCATCATGTTTGTTTTACTTTATGCTTACATCACTAATTAACAAAAGATTGGTAGATAACATATTTGTCACAAACTATGTTTTTTTTATTTTATGAAAAAGACGGGTAAATATTATACCTTTCTTATGGAAAAAAAAAGTACAAAATAACTAAATACTGGCCAAATATGGTATCAAGAAGACCAAAGACCAGCGGAAATTATCTACAATGGAAAGCTTAAAAAAATTCAATCCTGTGAAAAACTCCCAACTAAATCATCTTTGAGTAGAATCATCCCAACCTATCTTTCATATGAATCGTCTGGATAGCTCTCTTGATCTTTTGACAATCCATTTCCATCAACATAAATTGCCCAAAAGAAAACTAGGGATGTTAAGCTTGTATTGTTCGAGAATCACTTCCTTCCTATATGTGGTGAAGATGAATTATTTAATTGAACTCCAATCCGCTAAGCTCAATAATTCTTGGTCTCCAAAGTAACATGCCTGCATCTTGGAGCTCGTGTGAATAATCTAATTGTCATTTTTTTTGGAGAGAAGTTTTTTTGGAAACACATTTTCGAGTATTGGTGGCACAGTAGTTGCAGAGGCCTAAGACTTTTCGTGCTAGTTTAATTATTTTTTCTAATACAGATGACAGTAAATTTCAAGATTTATCTTCAATGTACAATATGTCCTTCCGGCTCCACCTCTATTAGATTAGCTTTCTCTATCTTAGAAGGTAATTCCCTATAGAAGTTGCTGTTCACATGTACTTTAAAAATCTCCACAAAATCTCTTGAGAATTCACAGGTAATATACCAACAGCAGGAATTAAAGGTTCTTTAGCGACATAAACATGAGTTTGCATTCAAATAGGATTGGTTGTTTGCTAAAACGTTGCTCCAAAAGCACTTTCTTGTAGCCATGCAATAAAACCTCATTTCTTTATCATTTATAACCTAACCAAGCAATTAATGAGCTGAGAAGAATTACAAGAAGCGTCTTGCAAACAGTCAACTTTCTTCTGATAATTATCCCATTCATCCCTCCAATCCTTAGTGTCAGAAGAGGAATATAATATCAAAATAATAAGGAGAATCTCAATCAACATCTTGAGGATTACATGCTAAATTAATCTTCATTTTATATACAAATTTGTTTGAACTAGTCGATAAAAACTTAGGAATATCACCAGATTTATTTACTCTGATTAAAAAGAGAATAAAAAAGAGTAGAACTCAATAAATCAAGTCACGAAGAGTGTTATTCGTGTCAAGAAGTCTTGACTCCATCAAACTAATTTACTGAAATATATATTCATCTTATAATGCTAATGATATTGATAAGAAAATTTTACTTAATGAGATATGCAAGTCACTTCGAATTCATTAGATAATTTTGATATAAGTAAAGTATTATTATTATTATTTTAACGAATGTATTAAAATTATTGTAAATGCTAGATTATACTTTTCAGTCATCACGGCAAGAATATACGCATGACAAAATTTTTATTCTTTCTTATCTTTGAAATTCAATAAGGGAGATTCTCTGATGATGATATTTTTTGCTTGTTATATTAAGATGTAGCACAAGAAATTAAAACCCATCAAGTTTCTTTTAAAGGAAAAAAATTCAAGCTCCTAAAACATGAGATTAGAAATACAATTTCAGCAAGAACAGGCTGCTGCCATATAAAATTTAAAGAAGAAAGTATAATTTTAGTAAAGATTCTGACACTTTTTGTTTATGATGAAAGAAATGAAAAGATCTTTACTAAATTGTTCACGATTTCAACATTCTTTAGCGAGAAAAGCATAACATAATCTTCGATAATAGCAGTTTCTCTTTTAATCTACAAGAAAGTTTTAAGGAATGGGAGAGAAATACAGCCATATGAAAGAAAATCTGTGCAGCCATTTGAGGGAAATGCAAGAATAATAGCAGCCACTAGAGCTTGAATAACAAATGGCTAGTCAATTTGGAAGGAAGACGAAATCCTTATTGCTTGTTGTCATTGATTCTAAGCAGCTGTTCTTGCGTGCTAAGAAGAGAAAACTGTTAGGTGCAAGGAAGAAGACCGGCTACTCCTGTGTGGACAGAACCTGCGTGTGAAGGAGGATCAACCGGATGCGTTTCTTGCGTGCAAGAGAGAGTGGATTGCTGGCTGAGAGAACTGCGTGTTGTTCGTTCGAATCAGGTCCTGCCCCCAGCCCCCTTCACTCTATTTTATAACCTAGTGGCTTAAGAGAACGAATGACCATCTTGCCCTTCAAACTTCATTTCAATTCAAGGGCTGATATTAATTGTTGAATTTAAAAGGGTTGGAGGGCTGATATGATTAGAATGGGCTGATTAATCAAGCAAATTTGATTAAATTTTGATTTGAAATGATCCCATCAATTCGATTTAATCTAAATGAGCCAATTTGAACTCAAATTAATTTGAGTTTAATTGATGTCAATTAAATTTAATTCAACTTAATGATATTGACTCATGTCGGTCAAAGCCGTCGAACTTAAATTGCACTCAAGTTGAGTTGAATCAACTCGGCGTCACTCGATTGAGCTTATTCGATTAGAATCAAATTAGCTCTGGTTAATTCGAGCTCGTCTAGATTCAATTTAACGGGACGACAAGGGCACCAACGTCGGATAGGACTTGAGTCGAGCCGAATCGATTCAATGTCAATCAATTTCACTTATTTGATCAGATTGACTTTAATTAGCTTGAATTTGGTCCGAATTGATTTTAAAGAAGGGATGGCAACGACAATTATGAACTTTACTTTGAAAGTGAGCTCAACAGAATGGTAACATTAATAGTATTCCTTTGAGAACGGAGGGCCAAATACTAATTCTATGGTCCAACTTCTTGCATTCATGACAAACAAAACCATTTTATGCTCCCATGAGAAATGGCCAATGCTGTGACATTTGAAACATTTGGATCGAAGCTTTCCATACATTGTTGCCAAAATGCTAGATTAATAGAAGAAGAAATATTAGAATATTACACATTTGGGAAGGCAGGGCTTTTGATGCCTTAGCATAAGATCGTTCACAGTATATCTGTAATTTTCATTGGAGATCCTTCTCCAGGAATAAGAAAACCACTATCATGAAAAAGTCTTTAGGGTTTAATTTTACAGTTTTATCATTTATGATTTAGCTTTCTGTTTTCCCTCCATATTGATATATTTATAGTTCTTTTAACAATTTTTAAACTATCATTTTTTGTCCATTACCTCCTAGCTTATGTCTCTGAGAAGAGCTTCGGTGCGACGACCTTCCAAGTTAGAGCAGCCATTGCGACATCTCTGGCTGCAGCAGCTGCTCGTGCAAAGCTTGCAGCAGACCAAGAAGAGAGGGAGATGGAACTTCTTATGGCATCAATAATTCAAGCGCAGGTATGTTTTCATCTCTGGTATTTTTTTAATTTGGACATAGGATCCCTTTTTTTATGGAAAAAAGAAAAATTGGGTTAGGATATCCAATTATTAGGTGCGGAGATCGGACATAGAGGTACATCCGGACTCCAATAATATGTTTTGACACAGAGTGGACAAGTTGGATTTATTTTTTACTTCACATATTTAATGTGTCCGCGGAACTTTAAGCCAAGCGCACCAAAAGCACAGCCAAAGTGCAGGTAAAGCGTTGTCAAAGCGCAGTAAAAAAACGCAATAAAAGAGCAGTCAATACACAACTGAAGTGCAGTTAAAGTGCAGGTAAAACACAAAAAAAGCGCAACCAAAGTGCACTCCACATGTCAATTTTTAAGTGGATGTCCGGACAGTATCTCTAAGTCCAATCTCCGCTCCTAATAATTTTCCGATCCAAAGAGCTTCAAAAATCAAACCATGCCATTTCTTTTATGTTTTAATGACATTGAATGAAGAGAATTAGATTTGCAGCTAATATAAGAAATGTGAAAATAATCATTGTAAAATTTGAAGAATGATATGAGTGAATTTATATTCTGTTGTGTTTGCGATAGCTGAAGAAGTTGCAGTACAAGATGAAGCATTTGATGGAGATTGAGCTGATAATGGAGAAAGAGTTGAGTTACGTGCAGCAAATGAAGGAATTCGTAATGGAGGAATGGGTGAATCTACTGGAGAAATTATTTGAGGCTGGAATACCCCGGTGGCGTGACCAAGTATTTCCTAAGACCTTAGTGCACACCTTCCCCTTATAATTAATATTTATCCCATGCCTGTTTCCATGTCAATTATTTATGCGAATTTTTTACTAAGTTATTATTATTTTTTTGCATAATCAGGTCTTCGTTGCCATTATTTTTTATATTTTGTTAATTATTTCTTCGTTATATATTTGTCTTAAATTTGAAAAAAAAAAAGAAAAGAAAAGGATGAGGATATTAAGACTAAATTCTCATCTTGATGGACTTTATGAGATGTGTTTATATTGTCATATGCGATGCATAAAGCATGCATGTGACAGTGAATATATATATATAGACCAAATTCTCATCTTGATGTTCTTTTGAATGTAAGCTTCAGCGAAAGATTTACTTGTGAACATAAATCTTTTTGGACAATTTCAATTTATTATCTAAGTCTTAATTCTTTATAAAAGTAATATGTTTTTTAATATTTAATTAAAATATTTAAAATTAAAATAAAATTTATATACGTATACGAATTTTTCATTATATTCTTAATAATTTGTTCATCAAATCTAGAAAAATCAAGACTTATGCTTTATTTGGGTTAACTTTCTAAAATACAAATTTTTAATTCAAAAATATTTTATACTTAATTTGTTTTAAATAGCAAAAAAGTAATCCCAATTTTCACTTTCAACTAGTAAATATTATATACATAGATATAACATTAAAAAATAAACTTTCTTAAGTTATAAATCTAGCTTAATTTGGATAAATTCCGATAATTGTTTTTTTATTTTCTATTAAAAAAACGCTTCGGAATTTTGTTTTTGCAGATACCAAAGTAAAACTAATTGAATAGAGTTGAATATTTTGATCGTCTAGATAGATGCAGCTTTAAAACTTTTGGAAAATTAATATCTTTCAACATAATGGTTAAATTTTATTGAAATAACTTGCAATAATTAGCCAAAACATTATCTTGATTATTGCCATTATATTACACGAAATGAAAATAAGATAATAACGATTAGAATCATTCATGCTACATGCAAAGACTCGAGCAATAATTTATACCATAAAATTATGAAAATAATTATTCAAAAAAAAAAAAAACATTCACTAATATAACGTTTAATTATTTAAAAAATTATGACGAAAGATTTTAAGACATTAATAAAGCTAGAGAGGAGATAGTTTAGGGGAAACACTCGTTAGGGATCAAGAATTGCTCGTCTTATTTAATTCATGTTCCATCTTAAAAGCCAAAAAAATAAATAAAACTAAATTTTATTTAAAAAAAAAAATGTTAACAGACAAATAGTTTGAATAACATTTAAATTGCCCACTATGACTTGAAATTTTGTAGAACAAATCACATAACAATCGAGACTAACATGAGAGCATATAAAATCGTTACAAATCCTCAGCTACAAACTTTATACCCAAAACCCTAAATTAAAAAAAAAAAAAAAAAAACAATGCATGTAAATTTCATACACAATACTTATATTTTAACTATTTACAAAATTAATATTCACATCATTCAATGTCGAACAATAAACTGAAGACTGACTCCCTCAGAATGAAGCCAACAACAGCCCATAACCATTTGAAGTGTTTAAATTGTCACAGTAATGCATAACATATAGATCCGCCGCACTTGATATCTAATTTCTAAACATGATATCAAGCTCGAGGGAACCAAGACAGACCTTAACCATCAGCCCAAGTCTCTAAACGAACCAGGAAAAAAAAACTCGGAGATAATTCTTACTAATGCCATTACTAGCATGAGATATACCCTCATAAACAAGTGTTTACAATCTCTCTCTCTCTCTCTCTCTCTCTCTCTCTCTCTCTAAATTAGCAACTAATAGTAATGAAGAGAATCTCCTAAACTATGCTAACAGAGGTGTGGTGTGTGGGTTTCAAGATATGGGCTAAGGCTTTCTGCCATAGGGGTTGCATAACAAAGGAGAAAAAAAAAAAATCAAGTTCAGTAAGGGAAATATGGGAAGATCGTACCAATGTGTCCAAATCTTTGCATTGAGATCCTGAAAGGTTAAGCCGTATCTCCTAAAGAGCTGAGAACGCCAATAAAGGAGCCTTCAGAAGCTGAGGCTGTAACAGATTAACCATTCTATCATTTCTCTTCCACTTTCAAATAAAACTGTAATTAATCTTTGGCAGCGGCCAACTTCTCTAGCAAGTCACGTATTTCATCCTGAGCATCCTTCATATGAAAAGGTAAATAGATATATTAGAAGATTGTAATAGATAATGGACTCAAAACGCTTAGATTTATTTTGAGATGAAAAATAAAATATATTGAAATTCAACAAAAAAATTTAAATAGCACTACTCAAAACAAATCTAATGAATAGGAAACTCGTCGTGTTTAAAAAATCTATTTTGAGAAAAGGATTGAAGTTTTGCCTCTGCAAAAAGCTACACGTCAAAACAATGAAGCAAGGCATGAGATGATCACTACCTTTAGCCTCTTCCTTAATGTTGCCTCTTCTTCATCTCTCCTGGTTCTTTCTTCTGAAAAGATGTCGATTAAAGCTTCCTGTTCCTTGTTTGACTCTTCAAGCTTTTTCTCTTCCTCTTCCAGCTGGTACATTGATAACAAGTATTCAAGAACTAAGTTACCTTAAATATACATATTCCAGTAATAATTTCATACTGTAAAGATATATAAGATGCTAACTAGTCACTAGAAATAACCTATAACTAGTTCCTCAATACAGTTTTGATGTAAAGGTAAAGAGTTGCTTTCATTGTAAAATTCTATTTTCAATGATGTGAACTGATGTTCTAACTGTGAAAACTTTAAGAAAGCCATTGGTTGCGACTCTTTAATTCGGTTCTTGTTCCGCTTAACCATTCTTATCAACTTTTTCGACTTTCTTTAACCTTGTTTGTGCTATTTTTAGATTTGTTCTTAGTTTGGACGAGAAATTGGTAATCGATAATCATAATTGGAGATCTAGATGAAGGAATGGCTCTTCAGGGAATAGCTAGAACCATCTCATGTTTTGTGGATTTCATGTCAAATTTAAAGGTTTTTCACTCCCAATTTTCTAAACTTTTAGTTCCCTTATTTGATTCGACAGTATCAATAATTGTCATTGATTATAGCTATTTACTCAAGGAATATGTAAGTTAGATCCAAGAACTTACATACATATAACAAATCTCATGAATGCCAATTCACATTTTAATTATTTATTTCAATTCCTTGCATTAGCGGGAAAATTTGGAGCAATGGTTGGGTTGTCTCCATTGTATCTAGAGGTTACAAGTTCAGGTTACAAAAAAAAAACCTCTTAAGTAAACACAGAGGCCAAAACTGCAAAAATCAATCCATCTCCAAACTCTATACTAGAGGGAGCTACATTTACTAATGTCCCTTTTTCCAATGCCATGCCAACACCATATAATATCTAGAGTTTATTTTGCAAAAAAAAAAACATTACATCTAAACACATTATACAACAAAATCTATATTATAGTTGTCTTTTCTAGATATTCATAAAAGAAATTTAATATGAGCATTCTCAATATTCCACAATCTTAATCCTAACATTCGGTGGCCTTCTCTTACAGTCATGGCAATCAAACTAATTTTAATAGCTCAAGATGGATAATTATTTCCATTTGCATACTCACAATATATCATCAAGATTATAAGGAGTTTGAAGAACTGATTTATTCATTCATATATACATATATATATATATATATATATATATATAAACTTCATAATACAACAATAACATCAAGTCTTTATTCCACTACATGGGATTGGCTATCTAAATCATTTTGCTCCATTCTATCCTGAGAGTCAAATTCTAAATTAAATCTAATAAAAAAATATAATTTCTAATACTTTCTAATCATCTGAACTATTCTCAAAAAAATCATTTTCTTCTCTTTTTTTAATTTTATTTTTACAAATTTATACATTTTAAGGTTTCCACCTCAATTATAAGTTTTATATTCCACTAAATATTATATAAACGTCTATCAGAATGAAAAATACTAGTTATTAAAATAACTAATAAATATATTACCCGATGAAATAAAAAAACCATAAAGGATGCTGAAGAATTAAGTCAATATAAACCCAAGGTAAACATAAGCTGAAGACATGACAAACTGATAAGATTATTTCAGCTCCTAAAATAGTGTTCTGGGTAATAATTTGTCTAAAATTGGAAACAAGGTTAGGAGTCAGCTTAAGGTTAATGACCAAGGACGCGAATCAACAAGATTAAATAGAAACTACTAACTAACCAAAGCCAAATCAAACCATACATTCCTGAGCACTGAACCATTTTTCTATGGAGACAAATCCCCACTATACAGCTTCTCCAGGATCAATTGTCTAAGTTCACTTCCATCAATGCTCGCCTCATCCAGGAATGCATCAGTTATTTCAAACTGCCATCTCAAGAGGAAGAATAATTAACAATTACCCTTGCTCACATCCAATCGCAGTAGTTCCCCTTGCAAGTCCAAGTCAGGTTATATTTTGTTAACAACATCAGCAATAAGAGCTTATCCCTCCAAAGTCTTCAATAACAAATGAAGATTCTGTAGCTTCAGCTATCAAATCTCTGTCTACTCTAGCCATGAGATATAAGCGTTGCAAATCAACAGTCACATTCTTAACAGATCCAGCCACAGATTCCATTGTCTCAGCCACATCAAAATCTATCAATGGGAACCACCACTATTGTAAGGTTCCGTTGTTTCCCAACCATTACTTTCTCATTATCCTTCATCTTACAAATGTCATATTGCCTTCCGATCTCTCCGTCATCACGTCCTAAACCTACTTTCTCATTATCCTTCATTTTTCAAGACCCCTCTGAATCTCTCCCTCATCTCAATCTTTCGTTAAAACACTGGAGCGTTGATCCTGGATGAAGTATCAAGTACCTTGATAAACCAAATGACCCAGAACTCCCAACCCAAAAAAGTAATGCTTGATTTGATCAAAAAAATAGAATGGGTTCAGATCAAGTTCCATATAGAAACTGATGAGGTTGGACTGTCTGATGATTCTTATTTTTGGTCAACACCAACCCATATTGCATCACTAAAATGTGCAAAGTTTGCGTGCTTTGCTTGTAACAGTGTTTTAAAGAAGATGATTCCCAATAAGTAATGCGTGCTGGGATACTTTAGAATGAAAGGGATTAGGATGGCACAGAAACAGTGAAATACTTTAGAATGAAAGGGATTAGGATGGCACAGAAACAGCCATACAAGGAAAGAAGACTCTTACCTGATCAATCAATGTTTTGTTCCTATTTCTTTCATGCTGCAGCTCAAGCAACATCGACTCCTCAACTGTCTTTAACCTGCAACAATCAGATGAGCCAACAATTACCAGGGATGTTAAAGAAAACAGAATATTTCTTTCCTTCAATAAATACCTTCGCTTCAAAGCATCATTTTCATCTTCTAATTGTTTGATCTTTGACTGATTTACCTCCGGAAAAGGAGCACCTTCCTTGATCATTTGGGAGGCTGCCTGCCGTTTATGTAGTGATGCAAGATAAGGTTTTTACAATATAAGAAGACGCATATAAATTTATAAATTGCTTTAATGAAGCTAAAAGTATGAGTAAAGACAAACAGAAGTTAAATATCAAATCAAGGGGAGGTACTACGAAGAAGTAATGCGTGCTGGAATATTTTAGAATGAAAGGATTAGGATGGGACAGAAACACCTATACAAGGAAAGAAGACTCTTACCTGATCAACCAATGTTTTGTTCCTATTTCTTTCATGCTGCAGCTCAAGCAACATTGACTCCTCAACAGTCTTTAACCTGAAACAATCAGATGAACACACAATTACCAGGGATGTTAAAGAAAACAGAACTTCTTTCCTTCAATAAATACCTTCGCTTCAAAGCATCATTTTCATCTTCTAATTGTTTGATCTTTGACTGATTTACATCCGGTACAGGAGCACCTTCCTTGAGCATTTGGGAGGCTGCCTGCCATTCATGTAGTGATGCAAGATAAGGTTTTGACAACATAACAAGACGCATACAAATCTATAATTTGCTTTAATGTGTTGATTTTATTCAAAGTGTGTGGCAGTAGCAAGCGGCAATTGAACAAGAGAGACATGGGCCAGCAAAAAAAAATTGAATACTCAATATAATTCAGAGGGACAGAATTCTTTGGTTTAAAGGAACAGAACCGATTGGTTCGCAAATAGGAAAAAAAATGATTATAATAAACTTCGTTTGAAGTAGCAGAACTGATTGAGTTCGCAAATAGGAAAAAAAAAATGATTTGCAATAACTTATTAAGATCCTGGAGAATATTTGCTTCTAAACAGTAAATCACCTTTGTCTGTGATCTGGTAGATCTGCCATCAATACCTCCAGAATTACATTTTAAAGAAGAGGGAGATGTACTTAACAATTCTGAACAATTGCCCTCTTTATCAGAGAATTTTCTTGTAGGGGAAACATTTGGAACTACGGATGAAAATAAATTATCTCCCTTATTAAAAATATTTTCACTCCCAGAACCACGCTCATTACGTTCATATGGCAATTCATGGGTTCTTAAAACAGAAGATCCTTTGCTTTTCCCAAACTTCTCACTACTCTTGGTTCCATTTTCCTTTGAAGGTACGGTGAATCCTGCTTTAGCTGATTCGGTGGATGAGATGTTTTTTCCCTTCTTGCTTACATTTGAAAGATGCTTGCCTGAATACTGATATTTTCTTGAATCATTTGACACTTTGTTGGGAAACGCACCCTTCTTGGGATGCTGAGACGACTGCAGGCAAGGAACTTCAGGCGAGCTATCTATTGCAAAGAAAATAAGGGAAAAAACTTGAGAGAAATGGATACTAAATTTCAGGCAAAAGAAAAGAAAAGCCTGATAAAATAACGTGAGGTTTTCTACCAAAGCTGCGTAAAATAAATTAGGAAGTTTTTTTTTTAATATTTGCATAGATGCAATAGCAAAACGTTTCCATACCATTGTCTTCGGATTCGTCATTTCTTTTTTTGATCCTTGGAGCATAGCCAACTTTATGACAGTTTGATGACCTGAATGCAAGTTGAAGGTATAAATCAACAGAAGTAATAGTCACAGCAACTTGCATAGACATGCAAAATATAGCATAACAACAAACCAGTATTTTTTCTGCATCAGAATCAATCGTGATTCAAGTCTTGAAAGAACAGTGGTGCGTTCGAAGCCCTGCTTATCATGAGCTGGCTCTACAAAATTGGCCTCTAAAACACCTGGAGATTACCATTATTTCTGCAGCTAGACGCACATACAGGTGCAAAAGGAGGAGAAAAAAAATATATTTTAAAGTACCTATTACACCACGCCCGTCACTGCCTGCAGCATTCCATACTCTCCAAAAAGGCTTTTCAGCAACGAAAGGTAACAAAGGTAAGACTCATACCATAACCAACTTGAAAACATACTTTGCAAAAGATTACAACTAAACAATAAAAAGTCAAATTACAAATTATACTTGAAAATAAAACATATTTGTACAATGACATCACAAACAAAAAAAGAGAAAAAAGAGCTAAATAAATAGAATATTGATAGACCGGCCAATTTGATTGGGAGGTAATTAGAAAATTTTCAAATCAAGATGAAGTTGTTTAGGAATGTTCTTAATCAAAAGGAATTAATTAGAAGATGTTTCCTAATTGAAGAGAGCATATATGGGGGCTGATTTAGAGGGGATTAATTAGGAAATGCTTCCTAATTGAAGAAGACATATTTATGGGCAGATTGGGGGGGGGGGGATTAATTAGGCAATGTTTCCTAATTGAAGATGACAGATTTATGGGATGATTTGAGGGCTGATTTGGGAGGGAAATAATTAAGGAAATATGAGGAAATTAAGCCAGGTTGTTTGGATATTTGTTGCTTAATTGTTTGCTTTAAATAGGAAGAGAGGGGTGAGGGATATGTATGATTATTGTGGCTGATTTAGTGTCTTTGGTTCTTGGTGTCTTGGGCCCTAGCTTTGTCTAGGGATTGGGAGAGATTGATCCTCCTCTCGAATTGAGGATCAATTGTATCTTGTTTGTCTTCTTCTGTTAGTTTGGTTCTCGCAATAAAACTACTATTTTTCTCTGATTTTATCATCAAATTTGTGGAGTTTTCTCGCTATTCATCAATATTGTTAGGGTTTACTTGAGATCTTCAAGTATTTCCTAACAAATTGATATCATAGAAAATTTTGGGACCTTTAGGGGGTTATTTATGTGAATTTTAATTGCTGTTTTTTGGCTGGAGGTAGAGGGATTGCTGTTTTTGCGGTCAAGGATCAGTTTTTTGAACCTACAAAAAGTCTGGGATTGATGGCAGCCAAGAAAGTAGATGCGTTGGAAGAACACATCAAAGGAGAGATGAGCCAAATAAAATCAACGATGGAAGATAGAATTTCATCCGTGCAAGACAAAGTTTCCGATCTTCATAAGATGGTGAAGAAGATATTAGAGAATCAAAATCAAACGACAACATCGGAGACAAAGGGACCGGTAGGGAGAACTACGAATTCTAAATTTCGTAGGAGGGAAAATGATGTGGAGATCATGGAGGAGAAAGGTGTAAGGTATGGAGTGTGAGACCTCGTTCCTTTGCTGTTGCTGTAGCTGCTGGGAAAAGTGATATTTTTCCCAGGATCGTCCGGGCCGATTGGAGATCGTCCAGGCCGATCTGCACTGTAGAAAATATCGTCCTGAGAATAGTTCTGGGAGTCGTCCAGGACGATCAATTTTGGTCTGATCGTCCCGGGACGATGTGGCGATCGGCCGGGCCGATCCCACTAATGATATAAGAAAATGAGCTCGTTTTGAGGAGAGAGAAAACATTTTTATAACCTCAGATATTTTGAGGAGAGAGAAAGGCCGGAAAAGCAAAAAAAGAAGTCCGATCGGGGTCCGCGGAGCGATTTTCGTCGTTCGTTGCTGTTGGATATTTTGTTTGTCTCGCTGTAAGGATTCCGAACCCTACTTCTGTTTTCAAAGATTTTGAGATTTTGCGAAATGGTGCTCAGATTTGTGTTTTTGTAAGTGATTTTCGTACCCGGTCTGGTACTGGGGGATGACACACATGGATGGATCTACAAGGTGGAGAGGTATTTCACCGTCAATGGGCTGACGGAGGAGGAAAAATTGACAGCAGTAGGCTTCTGTTTGGAGGGGAAGGCGTTGTCTTGGAACCAAAAAAGGGACCAGATGAGACCCATACTGAGTTGGAGGGAATTCAAGGAACGCTTATTAGAATGTTTCCAAACAGATAGGGGAGGAGACTTCTATGAACAATTCTTTGCACTAGTGCAGGACATATCAGTGGCAGACTACTGCGAGAGATTTGAGCACTTCGCCAGTCAGGCAGAGCGACTATCGAAGACTGCTTTGGAGGGTAACTTCATGAAGGGACTCAAATCCGAGATCAAAACTGTGGTGAGGGTCATGAAGCCTCGTGACTTGGGAGAGGCAATGGAGCTGACGCAGTTGGTGGAAAATCAGAATAATCAAGAGAGCGGAGTCAGAGGCACCAGTTCAGGGGGCTCTTACAGGATGACTACCACTCTCCTAGCACCCAAGAGTCCTGCAATAGGCCATCTTCGAGAGGCTCCCAGGGAGAAGCCAGTAGGAGGAAGTAGGGGCAACTTCAAAAGATTGGCGGAGAGGGAGATACAGGAGAAGACGGTGAATGGACTATGCTTCAGATGTGATGAGAAGTATACTCTAGGGCACCGGTGTATGGACCAAACTCTTCAGGTTCTCATCGTCTATGATGACAAGGAAGTTGAAGAGGGAGGTGAGAGTGAGCGAGAGGGAGAGATGAAGGACAAGTTGCATTCAGATATGCCGGAGGTCTCCCTGAACTCAGTGGTAGGATTCGTTCCGAATCATATTGATAGGAAACACTTGGATTTCCAAGTGTTTCTCACCAAAACCGAAGTAGATCCAATAGATTATTGCTGTCCATAGTGGAAAAACAGCAAAACTCCAAAAAAAACTGAGAGAAAAACGTAGGGAGATACGTAGAAAAAACGATGCAAACACTTTTATTTCAATAAAGGATGAAAAGCACTTGCAAGATACAACTTTCCTTCAATTCGAGAGGAAGGAAAAAACTCTCCAACGATCTCCGGCAACGCCAAGAGCCCAAGAACAACAAACCCTAGATCTCAAACTAATTCAAATTCAACATAATCCCCCCCTTTCCTCCTAACCTCCTAATTAACCATAAAGGAGTTTTACAAAATGTCTAAACAGCCCCTCGTATTCAAAATTTCCCTCCCAAAACTCCTCCTTGGCCCCCGTCGGCTGCGCTCGCCCCGCTCGGTTCCGCCCGCCCTGTTTTCTTCCAACTCGAGTAGGTGTGGACCGGTCTGGGTTGGACCGGTCCAGCCGGCTCAAGTGCCGGCCTAACACATATCATAAAGGTAAAGGAGAAAATAGCAGACAAGGAAGTCGTGGTGCTGATTGACAGTGGGGCTACTCATAATTTCATCTCCAACCAGGTCATGGACTAATTGGGAGTGAAATTGGTGGATACAGGCTGTTATGGGGTGATGCTGGGTACAGGGAAAGTGGAAATGGTCCAGGGGATTTGTAGAGTAGTTTTGACCATACGAGTGGTTCAGCTGAGGGAGGATTTTCTCCCATTGGATTTAGAGAACACTGATGTCATCCTGGGGATGAAGTGGCTATAGACCCTGGGAGACACCAACGTCAACTAGAGGGCATTGATGATGGAGCTGGTTGTGTAAGAGAATCAGGGCTCTCCAAAGCCATGCTATCACTTAAAACCATGGTGAGGAGCATGTAGGAGGTGGGGGAAGGTTATTTGGTGGAACTACATAGGTTGGAGGGGATTATATTGGAGGGAGGGGAAGTTCTTCTTTCGGTGCAATCCTTGATTCAGCAATTTAGTAATTCAGTGAGATTTTTCAACCACCTCCTCAAGAACACGAGCATGCTACCATCTTGAAGGAAATAGTCTCACCTATTAGTGTTCATCCGTATCGTTATCCTCAAATCCAGAAGGATGAGATCGAGAGATTAATTAAGGAGATGTCAGAGACAGGGATCATTCGACATAGTGTCAGTCCAGTGTTATTAGTCAAGTGCTTCAGCAACAGTTTCCTTTATTCCACCTTAAAGACAAGGTGGCACTTTGGGAGGGGAGTATTGATAGACCGGCCAAATTTGATTAGGAGGGAATTAGGAAATTTCCAAATCAAGAGAAAGTTGTTTAGAAAGGTTCTTAATCAAAATGAATTAATTATGAGAAGTTTCATAATTGAAGAGAGTATATATAGGGGTTGATTTAGAGGGATTAATTAGAAAATATTTCCTAATTGAAGAGAATGTATTTAGGAAATGTTTCATAATTGAAGAGGGTAGATTTATGAGATGATTTGAGGGCTGATTTGGGTGGGAAATAATTAAGGAAATAGGAGGGAATTAGGGGAGGGGAGGGTTGTTTGGGTATTGGTTGTTTAATTGTTTGCCTTAAATAGGAAGAGAGGATTAGGGTTAGGGGTACGCATGATTATTGTGGCTGATTTGATATCTTTTGGTTCTTGGCATCTTGGGCCCTAGCTTCGTGTAGGGATTGAGAGAGATCGATCATCCTCTCGAATTGAGGATCAATTGTATCTTGTTTTTCTTCTTCCGTTAGCTTGATTCTCACAATAAAACAACTATTATCAAATTTGTGGAGTTTTCTTGGTGTTTCATCAATATTGTTAGGGTTTACTTGAGATTTTCAAGTATTTCCTAACAAATATGCATGTGAAAAACTGTGGTGCACCAAAGCATAGATGAACTCGATCCCCATAATCCCTAAAAGATCATACAGGCAGCAGAATCTCGCAGCAAGGAAGTGCTACACATATGTATCATATATAGGCCCATGCCCATTGTGTCATCCCTAGAGTAAGGGCTATATCTTAAGCAATCGAGAAGCAAAGGTTGTGTATTGATTCAGCAAAATAAGTTTGACCTAAATTAATTTTAAAATAAATAACTTATCAACCCTAGTCAAATCTATAATACCCAATGTTTGCAAAGGTTAAAATTAAAATGACCTAAAAATTTTTGCCCATTTTCATGTTCCAAGAAAATAATTAAATCTATTTTTTTATAAAATCATTTATTTTTTTTTAAGATTACTTTTATATATATATATATACACACACGTGCACGCGCACATATTGATGTATATAAATTAAAAATTTTAGATTAATTAAATAACTAAATCCAATAAATTTAATTATTCCTTGAAAAATGTTTAAGTATAGAAATACGGATCTACTAGGAGAATTGATAAAAGATTGACATGCAAATTCATCAAGCATTCCATAACTACAGTTCAATACTAAAATCCACAACTAAACCTTGAAAATAATTTTTGTAAGGATGAAGAAGCAAGGGCTGACTAACCATACAGAAAGAATAGTATACTATGAAGAATGTCTTATAGATGTTTTTCAAGTATGGACATACAAGAAGTGAATTTAAAAGTAGGATTTCCATGGACACTAGGAAGTTAAGGTTACCAGTTAATTAACGGGCTTGATTAGATGGTTGAACACCAATTTAACAAAGCATGCTATTCAACTACATAGCCTCACTTTTAGTTCCTCTGCATGTGAATGAAACCATTATTTAACTGTATTATGCCTTTGTTATAATTGTACGGTTTGATATATGCTACCTTACATGGCCTGTTGCTACTGAGTTACGACACATCATTGGTTCATATCTTCCAACTCAAAGGGAGAAATAAAAAAATGAATTTCTAAAAATCGAAAATACAGGATAGAGAAGTTACGACACATTTTACCAATTAAGACACTAATTTTAGATGATAGTCTCTATTTCCTTCCCAAACAATTACTTTTCAATTACAATATTCAATATGAAAAAGTTATGAATGATAAATGAGAAAAAGGGCTAATATTCGAAGTAGTAGTCAAATTCATAAAAGACAAGGTAAGAATACTGAACAAATTCATGACATATTGTTGCATGACCATTAAGATATAAATAAAAAGAGGGAAATAAACGTGTATGAGTATTAACTCAAACATAAAACAAGCTGCTGGCGAGTTCAGAAAGGAGGTTATGGAGAGATGTCATGGCGGAAGTGAAGGAGATCAGATGTACCTTTATTAGTCTATTTTTGTGGTAGACATTAAATCCTTGAACATCAATGTGATGCTTTGCATCTTTTACAAAACCAATTGTCACAACAGCAACCAACTAATGCATTTGTCCAGAGAGACAATAAATTTTAGATCAACAACAATCCTAAAAGTTGTTTCAAAATAAACAAAGAAAAAAAAAAAAAAAAGCTTCTATGGTCTCACATTTGGATCCTTCGGAACCTTATCAGTACCAGGATTCGGACGGTAAGTGTTCTCCTGCTTTAGCATCATATCATTGACAATGTTATGGTGCTCGATCTCCTCGCCACGTAGAATCATTCTAAAACCATTTGGTAGCCTGAGGTACAGAATGGAGGTATAACTCTACACAGCAAAAGAAGACCAACATAAATTAGAAAAAAAAAACGAAAACAAAATAAAATGCAAATCATGAGACTTGAATAAGAAAAGTTCAAAATCCAAGTTTCAGTGATTCATTTATTAAAAGAATGCGAAAGAAAAGCTTAGGAAACACTTCTAAAAAAATGTCAAACAAAACATTTTAAAACAAAATTGACAAAACATCAAATTTCAATGCTATTAAAGAATATAGAAATTATGAGAAATTGCGTCAGAGAAAACGGTCAAATCAGTTATTCATAGATATTGCTATCAGAATCCTACAGCCAATCGAAATTTGATTTAATTAGAATAAATCACTATCTTAATGAATTAAGGAATATTATGGCTAATAAATTTGGAAGGTATTGATATTATTTATATAATATATGCTAACTTTTTGAAGTCTTATGAAAGGAAAAATTATACTTCAATCTGAGTAAATGTAAGTTTCTAGCAGAAAATTAACTTCTTAGGGTATGTAATATCTAGTGCTGGGATAGATACAGATAATAAGAAGATTCAAACCATCATAAATTGGGCCATCCTCAATCATTCACTGATGCAAAAAGCTTCCAAGGGTTGATAATCTTTTTAACAATCCTTGAATACTAGCAAAGGGATGCTGATTGGGAACATATGGAAGAAAATTTTTACCGGTGAGTTGTTGATTTTGAAGGGAGGAGGGGAATTCGAAGGAGGGTATGGGAATGAAAGGGGAAGGGAAGATCGGGAGACTTGGGGAGGGCAAAGCACTTGAGAAAGTGGAAACTATGGAGGAATAAGCAAAAACGAGGGAGATCAAAAGGTGAGGAAGCTGAAGATGCCAATTTTTGAGGAGGAGGACGCTTATGGTTGGATCTATAAGGTAGAGAAGTATTTCGCCATCAATAGGTTGAAGGATAAGGAAAAATTGACAGCATCATACCTATGTCTAGAGGCGAAGGCCTTATCATGGTACCAATGATAGGACCATAGGAGGCCTATAAGGAGCTGGAGAGTATTCAAGGATTGTTTATTAGAACGTTTCCAAATCGATGGAAGATGAGACTTCTATGAGTAGTTTTTCGCATTGATGCAGGATGGATCAGTGGCAAACTATTAGGAGTGGTTCAAGCACCTGCACAGCCGGGTGGAACGATTATCAGAGTCTATTTTGGAGGAGAACTTTGTGAAGGGGTTTAAGGCAGAGATTAGAGCAGCAGTGAAAGTCATGATGCCTTGTGACTTAGGAGAAGCCATGAAACTGACCCAACTGGTGGAAAATCAAAAGAATCGAGAGAGAGGAGCCAGAGTAGCAGCTCAAGAGGCACTCTTACAGGATGACGACTACTTATTTAGCACCCAAGGGTCTGGCATCAGGAGGATTTCATGAGATCACCAGGGAGAAGCAAGTAAGAGAAGGGAGTGAGAAAAATTTCAAGAGACTGACAGAGAAGGAGATGCAAGAGAAGAGGGAAAAAGGGTTATGTGTGATGAGAAATATACTCCAGAGCACAGGTGTAGGGATCGAACTCTTCAGGTTCTCACCGTCTGTGATGATGAGAAAACTGAGGAGGGAGGTGAGAGAGAGATGGATGACAAGTTGCATCTGGATGTGGTGAGGTCTCCTTGAATTTAGTAGTAGGACTCACTTCGAATCATACGATGAAGGTAAAGGGGGAAATAGTAGGCATGGAGGTGGTAGTATTGATTGACAGTGGGGCTACCCATAGTTTCATTTCCACACAGGTCGTGAACCAATTAGGAGTGAAAATGGTGAACACCGGTTATTATGGGGTGATGATGGGTACAGGGAAGGGGGAGAAAGGCCAGGGGATCTATAGAGTGGTGTTGACAATCCAGGAGATTTAGGTAAGGTGGGATTTTTTCCCACTAGAGTTAGGAAATACTGATATCATCCTGGGGATTAAGTTGTTGCAAACCTTGGGAAAAACTAAGAAAATTGGGGAGCAATCACGATGAAATTAATGGTGGATGGGAGAAAAGTGGTTATAAGAGATGCAAAGTTATCCAAAGCCATGGTATCACTTAAGACTATGATTAGGAGCATACAAGAGATAGGGGAAGATGATATGGTAGGACTACACAGGCTGGAGGTGATCAGATTGGAGGGAGGGGATGTTTCTCTTTTAGTGCGATCCTTGATTCAGCAATTCGGTAAGATTTTTCAGCCACCTCAAGGATGGCCACCTCCACGGGAACAAGAGCATATTTCCGCCTTGCGGACAAGGTGGATTTTGGGAGGGAGTATTGTTAGACCGGTCCATTGGGACCGGTTCACACGGACAAAGGCGGAGAAATCCTGACTCTCCTGTATGTCATCTAAACCACAAAAGCCGAAAGAACTTTTTGGGAAAGAATTTTGAGGGATTTTGGAGGGAAATTCGAATGTAGTGATTGTTTAAAGATTTTCTTTTGAATTGCATGCATTAAATAGTTTGTTTTCCAAGGGTTAGGGCATCTGGAATTTGGTTGAAATTTGAGATCCCTTAGGTTTTCTTTGGGCTCTAGCAGTGTCTAGAGATTTGAGAGATATCAATCCTCCTCTCGAATTGAGGATCAATTATATCTTGTTATTTTTCTTCCGTTAGTTGATCTATTGTTTTCCCTGATCTTCATTGGAGTTTGGAAGAGTTTCTCGCTAATTTTCTGAAATTGATAGGATTTACTCGAAATCTTCAAGTGTTTCTTATCACTTAGTTGATGATAGGATAAAGAAAAATAGACTTGATATATACATGTACCTATGGCAAAAGATGCACAAACAAAGAAATTAGGTAAAATTATGATATGCCTTGAAGTCAATTTCAACAAATCACAGCAAGAAATCCACAGAAAACAATATAAAACAGCAGAATTTGGAGGAAATAATGACTGATTTCTATTAATAACTCAATAAGAAACAAAAGATACAAGCGCTCTATAATTAGAGAGGTAGATCATCTCTCCCAATCAACCTAGACGCCGCCATGAAGCCCTCACAAAAGAAACTACAGCATAAAACTTAAAAAAACATAACCCTAATACTAAATAACATCCCTATATATTCCCCATTTTTCCCTCCACTTTAGCCCTAAAGTATTTCTCTTGCCTTAATTAAATTTCCTCTCTTTACAAAAAAAAAAAAAAATCCTCTCTAATTTGAATTCAAAATCCCTTCATTAATTTCTCCCTTAATCCTCTTCCTCGCATAGAAATGATTGGCTTACTGGGCCCGAACCCCATGCTGCCTCGCCTCCTGCAGCTAGTCTGTTTTCTAGCAGCTGGACCGACTGCAGGGCCAGTCCTGTTGGACCAGCTGTAACAAATTAATATGAAGAACTAATAAGAAAACAAGTAGACTAAAAATAATATTATGAAAGTGAAAAATAGAGTTACCAACCTAAGTAGCACTAAATAGTAATGGATGATGAGAATTAATCCAGCCAACCCCAAAAAATTGAATTAAGGCAATCGAGGAAAAAATTGAATTAAGGCAATGGAGGAAAAAATTGAATTAAGACAATCGAGGATGACAAAGATGAAGATAACATAGTTTAGAGATACTTTATTAATTCACTTTATTGGTGCATTGAATTTATATTTGGTTATGCCTTAGCATGTGGATTACATCAAGGATCAGCTTTAAGCCCATATCTTTTTGTTTTAGTCATGGATATTCTTACTAGACAATTGAAAGAGGATGTACCCTGGTGTATACTTTTTGCTGATGACATCACTTAGTCCAAAGAGATGGTGAGATGGGGATATTATTAGTAGAATCCAAGTTGAATGGTTGAAGTGGAGGAATGCACCAGACCTGTTGTGTGATAGAAAAGTTCCCCTAAAACTTACGGGAAAATTTTATAAGATAGTGGTGAGACCTACAATGCTTTCTGGTGTAAAATGTTTGACCATTAAAAAAAAGCACAAAATAAAGTGTTGCAAAGATGAGGATGCTTAGGTTGATGAGTGGCTATACACTTCGAGATAAAATGTGAAACAAGTTATACGTGAAAAGGTTGGAGAAACTCAGTGGCAAATAAGATTAGAGAGAGTTGTCTTAGATGGCTTGGTCACATAAAACGTCGGCCTTCAGATGACCAGGTTAGGAGAGTAGATGTATTATATCCAACCTATGTTAAAGAAGGTAGAGGTAAATCTAAAAATACTTGATTACAAATTATTAGAAATGATCTTTTTTCTTAGGTTTAATGATAGTTTGACTCCTCATAGAACACAATGGAAAAATGATTCATGTAGCTAACCCCACATAGTGGGATAAACATAAAAGCTTGATGTTGTTGTTGTTGATGTTGTATGCCTCAGCATGATAGTTCTCCAACTATATTGGGGTATAACATAAAAATAATGCAAATCAATTCTATCACCACTCTCCATGGCATTGCAACATCTTTGTTTTTTTCTACATAATAAATTAAAACTTCAAGAATACTTGATCAATCATTGTATAGAATTTGGTAAAACTCAAGCTAATAGCGGCAGATTTATTTGACATAGCAATCTTTATGACCTTTCTGCATATTAAGCTTCTTAATTTTAAAAATAGAAAGACATAATTCTTAAAAATAGCTTATAATAGATGACAATATAGCATAGCACATAGAAAAAACTGTACAGTTTACTTTAAAACAAGCAATAGTACAAAGAAAGCCAAAACCAAAACTAAAACATACCCTCAGAGAATGACGGTATGTCAAGAAGTGCTTCGAGTTTGGAAATTGTTTAGCCATTTGAATCTTTTTTTCATCTCGATTGACACCACTAATTTGAATATCCTACCATCTCAAATAGCATCATCATAAGAATAAGCATAATCAGTTCGATTTCTAAAAAATCAATCAATCAAATAAGCACACCAACTCCAGATCTTCTCCATGTTAAGAGTATCATGAAAAATGCTTAATTTGAGAATGAGGTAGGGAGAAACATTGGAAATAGCTTGGCCCATACATGTTTGTCAGTGTCAAAATCAAGCTCAAGTTTTCCTAGATCATCTTCCCATAGATTGTATATAACTATCCGAGTCCCATGATCTTGCATCAAATCAAACTGCAGAAGGAAAATTAAGAAATGATATATATCAGAAGAGGCACGGAAAAAGATGAATCCTACAGACATTGCCTTCCAAAAGTATAAGTTGAAAATTAACATAAATTACATTATAAAGACTTAATTAGATACAATAAAAAAAAAAATCATATATCAATTCTCACCTATCAGTCATGCAAATAATTTCTGAATGTCCCTATCTACGTATTGATATCGAAGGTTAAAAATAAAAGGTCAAATAGTTCTGATGTAAATGCTTGATGGATATGTATTGGAGGGATGAAGCTTCTACGTGTGCGTGTGCCTATGCTTATAGCACTATATACAGTTACACCTAAGCAAGTTTACATAGAATCGTAGAAGGCATTTACTCTTAAATTCAAGAGTTATTGGAGCATTTCATTTGTGGAAGGACTGCTATGTCTCTTTCATCTGCTTGACAAAAAAATTTCTATTATATCATTGCCCAATTTTGAATTCAAAACTCTGACAGCACACTCCTTTTAATGTTAGACTTTAGAGCAGTAACCAATTTTATAAGCAAACTCTCTGGCAGGAAAATATTTACCACATAACATATTTGTCACATAGGGTTAATAAGTTCATAATAAGGAGCCGCGCTTTCTTTTTACATAGTTTATGCATTTGGCTACTACTGATTTCTTCTCAAAGTACATTTAGGCTTCATCATTATAAAAAGACCAATGTAAGTGCTTGAAGGAACAGTTTATTAAATAATTGAAAGTTGAATTGTGTGAGCGCTACATGACGTCTTGGTGACACAACAACATCAAGCCTTTATCTCACTACGCGGGGTCGGCTACATAAATCTTTTTTCTCGAATTGGTGACACCCACAATTAAATTTATAACCTTTGAAATCAACAGGATATTTGGATAATTCAGAAAGCATAACACAATTATTTCAATCAAAACCTGTTCGAGAATTGGATGTAGATAAAAGCATCTATGTCAAGATGCCCAGTTTATAGTCTTGAAATATTATTTGAAATATGAAATGTTGAAAATTTTCATGTTTATTTCCGTCGTAATTTCCCATAAAGCAATGATCTATATATAGTTTTTTTTTTTTTTTTTTTTTTTTTTTTTTTTTTTTTTTTTTTTTTTTTTTTTTTTTTTTTTTTTTTGCATTAGTTGGTTTGTTCAATTTTGCAAATTCTGTAATTAAGAATATGATAATGATAGCCAAAAGGAATGTATTTTTATTTCCTAATTTTAGGTTAGTTTATATGTTATGGCATGTTCCAGTTCTGGTTCAGTTTGGGTTTGGAGGTTGAATAGTTTGCCATTCTTTAGGTTGGTGAATTATAGTTTAGCTTTGAGCCACTCATTCTTTGCGGAATTGGAGTTTGGTAGCATCTGAGGTGGGATTTGAATTGCATTGGGGTTTTCATCACCTTTTCCGATGAACCTTCTAACATTGTCTGTTGAGGGGATTTGTAGATTATAGGGTTATGGTTTTTCTGCATTGCCTATTGCAGCATTCAACTGTGCAGTATCTTTGTGGTTTGTCACAATAAAGTGTTGAATTTTAAAATAAAAAACGGAATTATTTATCATCTTTATTTATATTTTTTTATTTAGAAACTGAAGAAACCCGCTCTCATTAATAGAAAGAAAAATGATCCAAAAAGTAAGTTACTCAATAAAGAGTTGACCAAAAAGGAAAGCATTAATGAGAAAACAAAGTTAACAGTCTCTAAAAAGACCTAGAGGCTTATCTGGAAGGTTAAAAAGAGAAACAATTAAATTTGAATTGAGTTAATTTTAAGTAACCATATACTAGCCCAGCGGATGAGGAGCTATAAATAGATCCTCCAAGGCATTTAATTTATTTTCTTTTGCAGAATAAAATTTCTCTTTTTAATTTTCAATTTTGTATTTGCAAGTTAGATGTGTGATTCCTTCGAGTATAATACAAGTGTGACCACTCATTTCTGAGAGAAGTTGTCTCCTTGAACTGACGTAAGGCCTAATTTGTTATTTTGGTAATTTCGTTTCATGTTCTATGTCCTCTATATAAAGTGGTATTTGTTTTATTAGTAGGCCTAATATGTTATAATGTGATATAAGGTTTTCTTTTGAGGAGATCTAAAATCAAATACATGGAGTATAATTTTAGTAGTAATAGATCTAGTTGGGGGGATTGTGACTTTGGTTGATCAAGTCATTAATAAGAATACACATTTTAGATATCTTGGGTCTATTGTTCAAAGTAATAGTGAAATAGATGGGAATATTATTAGTAGAATTCAAGTTGAATGGTTGAAGTGGAGGAATGCATCGGGCTTGTTGTGTGATAGTAAAGTACCCCTCAAACTTAAGAGAAAAATCTATAAGATGGTGGTAAAACTTGCAATGCTTAATGGCATAGAATATTGGTCATTAAAAGAGAAGCATAATATTAAGTTAAGTGTTACAGAGATAAGGATGCTCAGGTGGATGAATGGCTTTACTCTTAGAGACAAGATACGAAACGAGCATATACATGAAAATATTGGAGTAGCTCCAGTGGCAAATAAGGCTAGAGAGAGTCGTCTTAGATGGTTTGGTCACATACAACGAAGGCCTTCCAATGACCCGCTTAGAAGAGTAGATGTATTAGATTTGGCTTATGTTAAGAAAGGAAGAGGTAGACCTAAAAAGACTTGGTTAGAAAATATTAGAAATGACCTTTATTTATTTGACTTAAATGAGAATTTTACACTTAATAGGGATAAAGGCTTGATGTTGTTGTTGTCGTTGTTGTTTTTGTTGTTGTTGTCTTAATTTTATTCAAGTTTGATACATCTAGAATTCAATTTACAAAAATAAAATCAAAATTATCCATTGATTTCATGCAGTTCTAAATATGCATTGATTTTCCTATGTTATTTCAATCGTTTTGTAATAAGTTGAGTTTTAATTCTATTTTTTGCTTCATTCAAATAAATTGAATTTCTCAAATTGGTGGTGTATTATGTGTGAATACTCTTTTTTTTTTTTTTGCATCATATTAGTTGCATTAAAAAATAGAAACTGTCAGTTGGTCTACATCAAATTAATATTATATTATTATATTGTATCAACATGTCACTTAGAAATGAGGATATTATCAAAGTAATTTAACAAAAACGTAAAAGGTATAAAATTTTAACTACTTCGAAAAATCAATTGGCTAAATTATTGAATAAATATATTAATTTTGTGATGTCACATTTAGTTAAAGCATAAGTTGATCATTAAAATCTAGATAATAAAGTTCATATACGTGAACCTGAAGTGCGTTCCATTCACAATAATGAGCCAGTTCAATTAAATTTCACACTTGTCGGACAAAGAAATTATAGAAGTCAAAATTTTAACATAGATGAACACATAATAAGGAAAATCAAAGTTGATAGACCTACTTACAAAAGTAAAATTGATCCAAGAACTATGCCGACTTGATTCTGGATTTAGAAAATTACTTTGAATGGTAAATCATGTCTAAAGAGCGACAAATAAGATTTTTCTAAAAATGGGGTTGTAAAAATGGAATTAACTAAGCATGTAAGAATCGGTATTGTAAGAACCGGTTTAACTGGCGGGTTCAATTGAACCAGCCAGCCCTAATTTAAACTGCAACTCAACAAGGCGAACAAACGGACGAGACGTGCGACTGAGTGGACCGCACACATGCTCAGCGGCTTTGACAAGGCTCAGTTCGCTGTTTTGAGTGAAAAATCACGTGTGTGGGGATAAAATAACTACTCCTCGTGAGTTATATACTTGTTTCCTTTGTTCCCTTGGAAGCAAATGGCCAAACGACAATAGAGAAACGAGACAGAGGAGGAAGGAGAAGAAAGAAAGTAAGTTTATATTTTATTTCTCTTCTTTGCAGTTTCTTGTATGATAGAAACCTAAGTAAAGGTTGACATCAAATTCGAAAGCAGAAGAAGAAAGTTGTAGGAGGAAGAGGAAGGAAATTGGGATTGAGAATTTTCTCTAATTTTGACAACAAAGAAAGAAGTAAATATTTCTTTTCTTATTCTTTCTTTTTGTTCAAACTAAGATAAAGAAAATATTATAATTCTTTTCTTCTAATTGAAGAAATATTATTATGGTAGGAAGAATCAAACTATAAATCCGATAGTGAAAGAAGAAGATTTGCAAGGAAGACAAATTTCGGTGAGGTAATCATTTTCTAATAAAAATTTTAGAAATGTTTGAAGTAAATTAGAGAATAGGAATCCTTGATGTTGCTTTAAAAATATATTGAGTACTCCAAGTTGAAGTTTTATAAATTAAGATCACATTAATGCTATTTGAACAGTGAAGAATCTTCATAATTGAGTTGAAAGGAGTGTTAATAAATCCATAGCAAAGCTTGAGGTTTGAAAGGAAATTAGAGCTCATAAATATTCAAAGTGGGTAATTATAGTTGTTTGAAATTTCATTATTATATTTCCTTTTTCATTTTGAAAGAAATATTTAAATAATTGTTTTGCTTATTTTGAGGCTATTCTGAATAAAACAATGTAAAATTCAAATGCATATATGATAGTAAAATATGCATAGATTATCATAAGAAAGTATGCACAGATATATGAATATGTGAAAGAATGTAAAGAAAATAGAAAGTGAAGTTGGAATATATATATATATATATATATATATATATATATATATATATATATATACTTCTTGAGGAGGAAAGAACAATTGCTGAAATTTTCAGATTTCCGCCTCCAACAGTCCCAAGACAATGCTCTGATACCAATTTGATAGGAAATACTTGAGTTCGCAAGTAACCCTAAGGTAATACTTGAGTTCGCAAGCAACCCTAGTCAAAATCAGCCCAAAACAGTGAGCAAAACTGCTGTCCCAGCAGTTTTACAGCAGCTCCGCAGCAGGAAATGCACCCAAACAGAGAAAAATAAGGAAAAGAAACAAGGTTTCCACTAGTAGATGCAAGAAAACAAAGAAAGATACAACGTCCTTCGATTCGAGAGGAAGAAC